AAGGGCTGTGTTGTAAAAGCAGCAGTTACAGCTTGATTAAACCGTTACGGGTCAGATCTATACTCATGAGTATTATTTTTCTTTTTTTTTTTTATATTACTTTGAGGTCTAGGAGTGTGAATAGTATCTTTCTGTAAAGGCTTTGGCAGAGGACATGAATGTCTTGGGGCAGAATCCCTGTTTTCATAACTTTGATCAGTTTTGCTGCAGGATTACAGGCCAGCGTTGATGCGCAGACACTTGTGTGTGGAGTGTTTATTTAAAAAATGCTACTTTATTCAAAGCTTTTGCATTGTACAACACTCTTGTGGCCAGTCAAATCTCTCAGACAAGGTGGTCRGTCACTATCTGGGTGTTGGTAGGTGCTTCCAGAGGGTCAGGGGAAACCCCAAACTGCTGCTGTTCTCACACAGAGCTGGCCCTGCATGACCAAAGCAGCCAGGAGTCATTGCTGTAGAGCACCTTGAGCTATGCACCACACACAGCCCAGCATCTTAACCATACAAACAATGGTTATGCATGACATTACCTGCAGGAATGATTCTAGTGACCATTTTCAAGTATCTTACCTGTGAGCAGTTTGGTATTTTTTGCAGAAGAAACTGCCAGGGGAGGGTCAGCACCTGAAGCAACCACCAGTGTCTGGCCATTGACCAGAGGTGCAATAGGAACTACCTGCTGGAAGCGCCGGGACTCCCTAAGACTCCTCCATGGGGACCCCCTGCAGCAGCTGCTCAGATGTTTTCCTGTGGGGCGGTAAGGCCATCAGTCAGCCCCTGTCCCGACAGTGCAGATAGCAGCCAGGCAGCGCCTGGAGCATCCGGGATATTTATGAACAGTGAGTGCACTGCACCACGATTTCAAATACACAACAAACCCAAGTGCTGTCCTTACATCACAATTATAAATTAAAATTCACAGATCATGCCATATACACGTTTGTGTGTCAGCTTATTCAGAACCTCTATTTTAATACCACACTTACYTTAATGCACCCTTTAACTTCCATGGTCCAACATCCATGAACATATGCTGATAGTCTTGCTGTAGTTTTTAGTGAGCAGGGTGCCAGCTGTTCAAATCACTACGTATGCTCTGCARCAACATTATTGGCAGCCTTGGCAAACAGACTTTAACTCCTGCCAAATAGCAATCATTTTAGCTAGTGGTAAGTAAGAGCAGAAGGTAGGTTGCTTGTATCAAGGGATTTATGATCTTCTGTATAACAATTCTGCTTACAAACCTCATTTTATTCGGTATTAGAAACTTCCCAAGAGAATCTTTTCATATTTGATATGCAACATATTTTTTTTCTTTAACTTGAGCTAGCTGTTCATTAAGCACAAAAAGAAGTGAAACCATTTCTCTTTCTTGGTACTTTCATTTCCTATGCTTGAAATATGACAGTAGACAAAGATTTAACTTGAAATACGGAATCACAGAGTGGTTGAGTTTGGAAGGGACCTCCAGAGATCCTCTAGTCCAACCCCCCTGCTCCAGCAGGGACACCAGGGTCATATCCAAGTGGGTTTGGAAGATCTCCAGAGAAGGAGASTCCACAGCCTCCCTGGGCAGCCTGTGCCAGGGCTCTGKCACCCTCACAGTGAAGAAGTTCTTCCTCACATGGAGATGGAACTGCCTGTGTTTCAGCTTGTACCCATTGCCCCTTGTCCTGTCACTGGCCACCACTGAGAAGAGCTTGGCCCCTTCCTATATTCTCCCCTCAGATACTTATACATACTTACCATAAATGTAAACAGGTGTTGCAGGTCACAGACTTCTGACCTGCAGATTATGGACTTGAATTCGCATAGCTCTTGGTCCTCAAAGAGCTACTTTTTCTGCTGGATCCTTACTGAGGAAACGTGAACAAGACCATATTGCTTTAGTATCAGTTGTGTTTGTCTGCATGTGGTTTTAAGYGGCTAGCTGGGCAGACCTGGATAGCTGAGGTGCAACACGATGCTCTYACCTCTCTGTTCATGAGCTCTGCCAAAAGCCCCACGGCGCCTCAGCAGGGAGAGGTTCTGCAGAGGAGCGAGTTGCGTGTTAGTAGGAATCAACGAGGCTGCAAGCGAGATGGAGAATTTTTGGATGTACCAAGTTGAGTATCGTAGGAGAAATGTAAGTAGATCTTCAGAGAGGAGAAATGAATTTGCTAGTACTTTTTATGGCACTTGCCTTAAAAGAAAGAAAGAAAAGCAATTCTTGTATTTATTGTATTTTTTTAAAGAAAATAGGATTTTGTTGGGTAGTAACTTCATTCATTTATTGTTTTTGTCCGGAAGGAATTTTTGTTAGTATTTTACARCTCTTTTGTTTACAGACAATGAAGCAGCACCGGACCTTTGTTTGTTTTAGACTTTATTTTGTAGTGTTTGGAGGAGCTGTGCAAGTTGTTTATCCACTWTTTTTAAACAAAGTATTTTTTGCTGCTGTTGTAAAAGCTACTTTTGGATTTTGACCACATCTTTGCCTGTATATTTCATGTTGTATCTCTTAGTTCACATTTTCATGCAGAAGAAAATTGGCTGTTTATTCCYGAAGACTGAACTGTCGTATACGACTATTTGTGGGAATAGCTGTAGTTTCATGTTATGTAGCAAGCTGTAGGCAGTATGGTGCTTGTTTGGGGTGTTCCTGATTGGGTCAGAATGCTTTTTAATGAAATTTTTAGCAGACATTCAAACAATATGTAGAAAGCTGCTCTGTGAACGTTGTGTGGTTCTTAACATTGCTGTGTAAATGGAGATAGTACAGATATTTGTAAAGMTCCTGTTACAGGATTAACTGTTAACGGATTTTAAAAGATGCATAATTTATAAATCTCAGGAGCTAATGTAAACAAGAACGTTATTATTATTGCTGTTACTCTCTCAGTGTGTGGAGACGAGAGCTAGCATTGGGTATTGAAAGATTACATGCTTTGCTTCTTTGTTGTCGATTTAAAACTTAGAATATGCTGATGCCGTAGGCGGGTGGTACTATGCACCTTTATGTAAACCTAACATTATAGTATTATGTAACCAGTGGGAGTGGAAGTGCTAGMGGAATTGCTCTTTGTGCAGCCGAGCCAGTGTGGAGCGGTAACTCCTGGAAGTTGGCAGCAGGTCCGGGAGCCCCTTAGCTCCCACAGGGCTCCCACGAGGGTGCCAGGGCTCTAACCAGCAACCCTTCAGTTTGGCAACACGAGCAGGTGGCTATTCCTGTTTTCCTCAGCTAATTCCTTCCTTTTTTTTTTTTTTTTTTTTTTCTTTAGCCTCTATTAGTATACTCTATTAAATACAATTCTAATACTTAAAATGCAGTGAAGATTGGTCTTGTAAAAGACTGAAAGTGTAGGGAAAAAAAAGATTTTTTCTTTCTTGTTTGTTTCAGCTTAGGGAAAGAGCTGGCATGAAGACATAGCAGGAAGGAGCTCCTGGATTAGAACTGGCGCCAGCTCAGAGCCCCAGAAGTACTAGCTGGCTTAGAGAAGAGCCGTGTTGTGTAATTGCTTTTGGAACCAGATGAACACAGTTTCCCTGTTACMGTCATTGATGAACTGTTGAGTTGGCAAAACTGGGATAAAGCTTCCTACGTCAGAGGAGACTGAAGTGTTGTAGGGGTGCTGAGTTGAAAGCCCAGCTTGCATAACTAAATGCTAGAACTTCCTTTGAAAATTCAGTGTGTGACTGGTATATTGACATGTTTTGKGAGTAGCCCTGGAAGATCTGCTTCTGGAGCACCTGCTGGGTTGAGGCTTTGTGCTGTTTGACATCCTGACATCCTTCATTAGCTCCATGCCTTGTGTCATGTTTGTCCTACAGTTCTCCCTGTGCTTGACTTTGCATTCTGAGGGTGGCTTTTCCATGTTAGCAGCATTCATTATGGATCAGCCATTCATTATGAATCAGCTGATACTCAATAGGCTTCCCATTCTGGCTTGCCAGCATAGCTACTGATGGATCACACAGAGAGAGAAGTTTCATGATACTTGTTTTCCATGCTGTTCACTTCGTATTTTGCAGAGCCGTGGCGGGGGATAACCTTTCTTAACTTTTACCCAGTCAAGGAAAGGTTATTACTGAAGGGCACCTAATTATAAGAGAAGGGAGGACGGTCTTCTTGGTAATAAGTCACTGGGAAAGTGATTTGAAAGACACTGTTTCCCTGTTGAAATTGTCCTTTGGAAAACCATAAAAATGAGAAAATCTGTTCCAGGGAATCTGTGAAACAGTAAGAATAATGTTTTCCGTGCTTGTATAGTGACATGGGGGTAGCATCTATAGAAAACCTGCAGCCTACCTCTACTCAGATTAATTTAATTTACCAGTCCAGGTTAGTTGTGTTCATACCTGAGAAAATCAGTTTGAGTTCATTCTCCTTCTTGGACAGTTGAGACTAAATAAACTTCAGCTGAATCCATGTTTTCTGGTCATGGTCAATTTACTTCTCTGTCATTGCAGCTTAGTTCTGTCTCAGTGAYTTTATCTTTTCCGGTCTGGAATGTCAGAGTTCTGGAGGTTGCTCTGCATTGCTTGCAGCTTCCACTAAGGTCGGGATAATTTGTCTGCATGCAAGTGGTCTTGTGCAAGTGAAAATGCTGCAGCTGCAGCTTAACAGGGTGGATGACAGTGAAGTGCAAGCGCTTGGCGCAGTGCTGGAGTCTCCATCCAAAAATGCACTTTTATGACACACTTTTTGAGTGAGTGGTGCTTGTCACTGCCTGTAGACTTTATTTTTATGTCCTGCTTGCTTCTGTATGCTGCTGGTAAGAAACATAAGGTTTATTTTCTTAGGTTTCATTTTAAAGTCCAGTGAGATACAGTAAGAAATATGATACTTATGATACAGAAATGGAGGTTAGAACATTTCAACAAGTATATGTCCGATTTTTGTTTTGTCTTTTTTTTTCTCATGTGTTACTTCCATTGTGAAATTTTACAAAAATATGAGAGAAGAATTGCTACCTTGGTCCCCCAGTTTATTGTTGAATTTTATTTTCTTGCCATATCTAGTCTCCATCTCCAGATTCCGCTTCACCCCGAGGTGCTGAATCATCAAGCAGGCAGCATCACCAGGATGCCTGCAGCACAACAGAGCCCTCCACTAATAAAGAGGTAGAGTGAAATCTTTTCTGAAAGTCAAGTCTTTTTCTTGCTGTTCATGCCTTTTTGTTGTTGTTGCCCCTTTGTGTCTGCAATTCCTTCTCTCCTAACCTAAGCTGTAACAAACTGAAAAACAGTTTGCAGTTCCTTCCCTTTGTGCTTGCCTGGCTCTCTGAGTCTCTAACATGCCAAAGGCTTTAAGTTTATCATCGTGTTTCTGATTCTACCTTTGGCTGCCACAAGGTTCTCTTAACAGGCTGGGGAGATACTGACTCACTGAAGAACAGCCAGCATGACCTCTGAATCAGAGGCAAATSAAAGGAGCTCTTTCTAAAATCTTGTAGAATGTCTGTAGAATTCAGCATGATGAATAACCTTGCTTAAGTGAAAACTCAGTTGTGCAGCATTTTTGCTGACAAACTGACCTGCTGGAAGAGCTGAGTGATTTGGTTCCGACACTTGTTGACAGTCAGGATCTCAGATACTGTTCCATAATTTTTGATTTTGATGAATCCATAATTTTTGATTCTCAAAATCAAATAATTTCTTTAATACTCATCTGAGAGTTTTTCACCCTGCRAAGTACCTCAAAACAAGATGAGGTTGTTTAAATGGAACTATCGTAGTGTGAAAAGGAAATATTTTTTCATTAAAAAAATAAATATTTAGAGCAGTGTAGTCTGKCTGGCTCTATAAGCATAAAAATCTGCAAGTATCTGTGGTTTTTTTCCTTTTTAAGCTTTAACAAAGATAATGTGAAGAAGAATCTTGAAAAACATCAGTCACAGTAGCTAACAATATGCCATCTTGTTACTGATAGCAACAAAGGAATTATCTTCCACCAAGGCAAAGACTACTATACCTAGAAATACTGTTAAAATTAAAACACTAAGGAGTACTGAATTTTTTAAATCTTCTGTTATAATCAAAGGGTAGAAAAGCTTTAAACATATATATATATATGTTTAAATATATATATATATGTTTAAATATATATATATATTTGTGCCAGTTTATGTTTGCATTTAGGAGATGATGGAGGCTTTCAAAAGACCTAAAACAAGAAATTCTTAATTTCTACTGTGCCAAAGCCTTCAGCAGTGGCTTGTGCCTGTACATATTTGTCTGCAATATTCTGACCTTGCTCTAACATTTTATTGTCTTTACTTTCTCACTTCATGTGTATTCCACCTGTTAGATATCATCAAATGTACTCGAAGGAGAATATCAAGATGCTTCTAATTTCAGTAAGACGTTTACACAGTGGGGTCTATATGGCCATTTACTTCCCTCAGATAAGGCCTTACTAGTGCTCTGCTCTAGTGCCTCGCTTGCAAAAGTAACGATGATGAAGCAGCCTGATTATTTTTGGGAACAGCTTTTAGTTCTTAATAAAAACATTTCTTAAAGTATAGATGTTATAACACTTGTCTGAAAGGCAAGCAAATTAGCAAGAGTAATAAAATATTAATGGCCTAAGTGTTTAATTATTCATGGATGTGTAAAATTAGAAGGTATAGATTTCATTTCTTTTTCACTAACTTTACATTGCTATTACTGTGGTCTTAGCAGAATGTCTTTTGATGTGGGTAATAAAAAATCTGATTTGTACATAGAGCTTTTGCAATAGAAGCATATATTGCTGTTAATTAAGTTGTTTCTTGACGGGGTTTTGTATGAACTAGTCAAATTGTTGAGTAGTTGTCAGACCTGTAATTACAAACTTTGGGCAAGCTTCAGCATTTCTGTTTAAAAAWAAWAAWAATAATAATATTTTGGAAAAGTCATACCAGTGGGTAATTTTCTCAAGCATGCAGTGGATTTGTTCTCTTGGGCTGTCAACAGTCCCATTTTCCCAACATCCCATTTCYTCAGAGCCAAAGACCAGCAGCAAATGGACACCATTGATGGAGTTTGTATAGGAGGTCCAGTAAAAATGGTCACTGCAGACAGAAGAGCTGTAGAGCAGCTTCTCCCAATTAGAAAATAATTGTGTCCTCACAGCAGCTGAGTTCCGTTAAATGCTTTGGAAGTGGGAGATAACAGTTTAATGACAACTTTATTTGTGCTAGTAAAATCTCTGATGGAGAACTTTCCTTGTTGCATACTCCATCTTAGTCATTCTCACAAGGAACAGTAGCTGTTCTAGGCTGTGCAGACCCTTCTCCTTGTGTCATGCATATTTTGTTTTTTTTCTGCTATATTGGCTTTATTTTATAGCAAGACTTGAGTAATTGGTTGAAATGTATTACTTGTTTTATTCAAGTAATAATAAATGAAGAAGCCTCATGGGGTTAATCCCTTAACCTGCTGCACAACTGTGATCTTGTTAATTTTCCAATTTTCTCTGCTAACACATGGAACCTAGTAAGTTGTGCACCTTATAAGAAAATAATTTAGCATATATGTAGATGTGTAAATTCAGCTGGAATTTGTCTAACACAGTGGACGTTATCCTGATCTTACTCACATCCTATCTTGATACGATCATACAATTGAGTCTTCTCAATTAAGCTATAGTTTTCAGATTTTGATATTATCCACAGAGTTTTTCACAGAAAGCGACATTTGGAAATAAGGTACTGCTTTAGTCTTTAATTTTACAAGATAAATGACAGTGGGTTTTTTAATTAGTTTACTTTTTATGAAATTGAGACTCTTATGAAATCAGATTCTTTACTGGATACAATAAGGAAAATACAAATGCCCTTGCAGTTTTCACTGTCCAAGTCAAGTGTGAGTCTATGTATCTTTTTATGCAAACATAATTGGTGGAGTAGTGTTACTAAATTCATTTATTCCACAAAGTAGTGAGATATTCCATAAAGTTAGTGCTTAACCTGCTGAAATCTGGAAGATTATGTGTAGACTATATTGACAGGAGTGATACACTTAAGATCAGATTAATTTTAAAAAAAAATAAGATTGTGGTTAATGATTAAACCACTGGGCTGGTGGTTTCAGTCAGGAATAATAAGGCTATGGAGTCATACACCCCTTAGTGTGTCTGTATGTAATCGGAAAATCCAGTGTCTATAAGATAGGACGGATTTTTCTGTGTACATCTTGGTTAGTAAGAAGAGATCAGTAGAGAGGAAATAAACTACTGAACACCAGCTAGTAGCTGAAAACTGAGTATAGCTTATTGCCTGGTGAACATGCTAATGCAAGGCATTGTGCTTAGGAATAATAGTCTCTAATGGCTAGTCAGAGTAATAGAATTCTTAGTAAACTGTGGTCTTACTTGGCTAATAACTTTGACTAATCTTTTTAGCATGAAATTTTTTTAATGCATATTGGTGCATGCTTTGTTCTGTTTGAAATCCTCTTTGTCTTAATTGCAGTCCAGAAAAAGCTTGGCTTCATTTCCAACCTATGTTGAAGGTAAGATATAGAACTTCTAAATATTTTATTATATGTCCAAAGAACTGTGGAATTTACAACGTGTAAAATTTTGTTGAATAGAAAACTTTCAGGATTGGATGATCTGAGTTAAACTGAATCTGATCTGAAGCTTAAACTAAGCCCTGCTAGATTCTTTTGGAGGTTCAGAAATACACATCTTTTATTTTTCAGTATTGCATTCATAGTTTCTATCCCAATTCTGATGGCTTTTCTTGGTTGGTGGATCCGTTTTGTCAGTATCACTTAGAACACCACTAAAACATTTTTTTTTCTTTTTAATGAAGTTTCCACAGCACATGAGAATGTGTGTGAACCATGGGCTATTGTTCTGACAAGGTTGTGCAAGATGACTGTAATGATTTCTCCAGCATTCAAATTTAATTCCCTGGCCTGCGAGAAGAAGTCTTCCTGGCTTTACAAGTACTGACCCTCTGATTAAATAGAGCTGCCTGTCTCGGAGTCACTTATACTCTTGCTAAACTTACTCAGAACAATGTGCAAAGCAGGTTTTCTGCTACATGAGCTTTTGTTAGCTTTTGCATGATTTACCTCCTCTGTATACAAAGAAACTGCATGCTCTAATAATCATTTTATTATGAGAGCATGACAGAAAGAGAAAATTCAAAGATTGCTTTGCTTTTCTTTCCAGACAGCAGTAGCTGCATGAAAGTCTTGTCTTTAATTGGGGCAAGCCTAGTTGAGGAAGTTTCACCAACCTTCTCCGTATGGAGGGGTGTTGTTCCTGGAAAACAGAGAGATTCGTCTGTCTGCCCTACTTGCTGTGGCTAATAAGCAAGTGACCAAGTTGTTGTTGGATGTTTTTAAATCTCACCCTTTCAGCTCTCTGTATGACTCTGAGTGTGTCTAAACTGTGTCATGTTTAGACTAGTCAAAATTAGGAGGCTGTTGGCAGGGATGAGGGGACAAGTGCAYACCCACATGTCTACACAGGAGCAGGAGCTCTCAGAGGTTGTTCTCCCCAGGGGTGATGCCTGCCTCAGCAGAGAATGAGCTATCGTGAGTGACAGGTTTGATTAGGAATTACAGCTTCTGACCGAGAAATGTCGAGAGCATTTGCTCAGTGTTTTGTGCCCCTGAAAGAACTGGCTGCCCTGTCATTGTGCTAAACCTCAGTAGGAGGTTTGCAGCCGTCAGGCGCAGGCAATAGTGGTCGGGGTGCTGCTGCTGTGCCATGGTTCAGTGTGATTTCTTCAGTGCTTTCTTCCCTCTGTTACAGTTCCTGGACCTTGTGATCCTGAAGACTTAATTGATGGAATCATTTTTGCTGCCAATTACCTTGGCTCTACTCAACTCCTTTCAGATAAAACTCCCTCCAAGAATGTGAGAATGATGCAGGCTCAGGAAGCTGTCAGCAGGATCAAGGTGAGGAATGACTCCTACTTCTCACACTGGTGTCTAACAGTGGTAGATATTAACTTTTTAAATATGCAGTCCTCTCATGTTGGGTTATCTGCTTTTTTTTAGAAAGGCTGAGTGCCCTATCTTGCTTCTGCAAATACCGGTTCTATGCTGCATGATGATAAGGAATCATTTTAATTCCTTACTATGCTATTTATTTCTTTTACTATAATCTAAAATCTAAAGCGAGTGCTGGTCTAATTTTTATGCTACCTAGGTGCTAAGAGAAATAACAGGTTTAGAAGAAAGCTCATGCTGTGGTTGCTTCTGGTATGGTATTAGGTCAAAGCTGTGGTCTTTTTGGCCATCGTTCCTGACCTCATTTCAGCTATGACTTGATTAAAAAAGGTGTGGAGGTGCATGGAGAAAAATTTATTTTTCATATAATCAGATATATTCATTACAYTTCCTTGAAAACAGAAATACTCACTAATTTCTGTGTAGGACAGGTATGTCAATAGATAGTAAGATCTATGAATGAAATATTGCAGAGTACAGAGGATGCTGCATGGTTAAGATAAATTCCCTTAACCCCGATACAGTGCTGCATGGTAGACTCCATTTCATGTAGCTTCTGCTAATTCAGCTACCCAATATAATCTCATAATGTGAAAGCTTTCATGAGATTATTTACATGTTCTTTTTTGCACAATTTATTTTGGGCTGCAATTTATACTCCATGTGTACAATAGTGTAAAGAGAGAGAGGGAAGGAGATGACATTTTATTATTATTAACTGAGCTCAGTTAATAGCTCTGGATGTTAAGGTCTCCTGATGCTTCCTACAGTCTTTGTTCCTTCCCATATATTTCGTGACAGGTGCCTGCTTCAGTCTGTGCATGAACTTTTAGAAGGATGCTCCTGCTAGAACCACTTAGACACTTCAGGAGTTGTTATTTTCCCCATATTCAGTTATGCCTAAGTTCTCATAGCTGTGTCTCTGAAAATCACCATCTCTCTAGCACTAGAGGAGGCACCAGAGGGGAGGTATGTTTGGCAGGGAAGTAACCTATCTGTTACAGGTAAATCTTGCCCTGCCTTTTTAGGAATCTGATAAAATTTAGTAAGCCTTTTTGGAAACAGTGATCTGTGTGTGTTCCTGGTGACGGTGGTTTTGGTTCCCACCTTTAAAACGATTTTTGCAGTTATTAAGACTTAAGAAATCTTATTGAGAGCTTTGTGTGCAATATTCCACTTTTACAGCTGAGAGTTTCCCTTACAGTGTCTGCTCCTTTGTTACTCTGGTGCAAGACTGTGCCTGTCTGTGTTTATTAGTCTCCACATCTCCTTTCTTGTTGCATGGATGCGTGATAGAGGAGTTGCCTGATTTGAATGCAGATGAAATGAAAGAGAAGGGAGAGAAATAAGGTAAGGACTGGATCTAGGAGAGAGGTATGGCTGGAAGGTGAAAGGAACAGTTAGGATCAGCTRTGTTATTGAACTGGTGGTGGGAGCTGGGAGGCTTAGGCAAGTTGGCCTGGAGGCTGAGTGTCTAGGAGGCGTGTGTGAGAGGCAAAGACTAAGGAAGGTGAAAAAGAGAAAAGTGATAAAGAAAATTGGGACAAAACCTCATARCTTTAGAACTGACTTGGTGAGGCAGAGCAACATAAAATCTTAGGTATGAAATATGTTTTTAAAATTTCATTAACAGAATATACTCTCCAAGGGCTCTGTTATGGCCCAGCACTGCTTTGTCTCAACAGATGTTGTTTTTTCAGTGCATTTCACCCGTCAAAGTGGTATTTTATGTACCAAAAACAAAGAACAGGTATGCACATACTTTGGTTGTAAATTTGTTCAGAATGAAGACCTATGTGGTTGCATACTGGCCTGGTGACACTCTGGCTTGTGAACTTGAATTTTCTGAAGCTAGGAGTAAACTTCAGAAGTTTGACTGCTTACTGCTTGGCAGATACTGCTTTTCAGCTTCTAGGAGAACTTCAGGAAATGTAAATAGCCCCAGGCCTTAGGATCTCTGGTTTGTTAGATTTGGTTTTGGCTACTTCTGTTAGTTATTTTCATGAAAACCAAACTTACTTAGTGATGACTTCATGATGACAGATGGAGTTCCTCCTGCCAGATGCATCATTGCTCAGGAGAGCATTTAGCCCAGACGTGTAGAAAATGCTGCCCTCAGAGCACTGATGACACTGGTGTCCTACTCGTGTTGATTTATGGAGTGTATAATGTGTTGTGTGAGAACATTTCTCTGTGGTTAAAGATAACAGAGCTACGAATGAAGGTGGATTATTTAAAAACACACAAACATGAAATTAAGAACATGGGGGAAAAAGGAAGAAGTTGCAGTTTAAGACCTGCTGTTACACATACCTTCCATTTAAATCAACATGTACTGTTAGCTTCATGCATCTSCATGTTCTAGTAGATTCAGTCTGCGCACAAATTCAGTCATTTAGAGTCTGAACTGGTTTTAAAAATATTTCTCTGTACTTTTCTTTACCTGAGCATCTCCCTGAGTATCTCTTCAGTTAAAGGCAGAAAAAGGACTTGTAGMTTTTTTTTTCTTAGGGATTTTCTCTATGGAATCCAGTCAAGCAAAGTTAAAACATAGAATTATTTTAATGCATTCATCAAACTTTTTTGACTAAATATTCCTCTAAAGATGTTTCTTCATTGTTTTCTGACTGTAGTCTTCTTTTGCTCAAATAGCAAGGAGATTTACATCTCTCCATATATTATTGACTGTTAAACTTGTAACAGGTTAGAAAAGTTAATGTTCACAGTTACAGTTCACAACTGACCTATGCAGATTTGTTGCTGAGTTTTGCATATAAAATAACATTTTATTTTTCATCAACAAGTTTGAACAGTTTTAATTGTTGATTTAATTACTGAAATAATTCAAGATAGAATAGATACATGAAAATCTTGCATATTATTTTTATAAAGATCATCTGGGATTCTTTCATCTGYAGTATATTTTTCTAGAAGGTAAAAGGGATTTGTGTATTTAATCYATCCCTCTAGCCTAAGTGAAAGTTTGCTGTTTTTTTTTTCTTTTTTTGTTTAGGAAATAGTAATATTTTGGAAATAACAAGTACATGCATAGTCACATTTCACTTACTGTCATTTAGCTTRTATTAAATGTTTGGACTCTGTGTATTTAAAAAATAGCATTTCATTTATATTAGGTTGTTTCTGTATTTGTAAGAACACTTAATAAAGATCTTTTGACTTAAGCTAGCAAAAATAACATTTGAGAAGAGGATATGTCTTATGTTGTCTCTCTTGTAGAATTATCCTAACTAATTTCGAGGACCAAACTTCTTTCATGACCTTTCTGTGCAGCACCTATCACTTCTTAAAACTGGCACGTCAGTTTTGTGAAATTATTTAAAAATCATTCTCCAAGAAGTTAAAATAAAATTAAGGCTGCTCCACTGAATCAGGAGAAAATTCTGAAGAAAATGCTAATCGAGGTGTTTTGGATTGTCTTGGATTGTGCACTGTAGACCTCTGCCTCCAGGAATCTTTCCTCCTTTGTCATTTGAAGCAGTGCTGATTCTCTTTTGTGAGGTCTGTCACCGTGGAGTTCGTACAAGAGAAGGGTTTAATGCTCTACCTCAGCATTTTCTCTGCCCAGCATATGCCAGGCAGTTGTATTCAAGATAAGTACATTATTTCTGAGCACCAGTGTAAATTAATTTAATGCAGCATGAGACAGTTCTAATTTGTTTTGCACGTGGTTGCTGTCACCAGGCTATAGCACATTTCTCAGTTTGAAAACGTTTATCCAGAACTGGTCTGAAAGTGTTTGTTCATACTGATAAATAAGTAGCACAGTCTTAATATTAATAATTAAATATTAATTGCTGCTTTCAGACTTATATAAACTAAAACTGATAGATTTAAGTTGTAAGCATTAAACATCTGATATGWCTGTGATTCAGGCTTTCTTTTTGTTCATCCTAAACACAATTAGTCATGAATCCTTATCTGTGAAATCTGTCATAAGACTTTTGTCAACACAAGAGCACCTGTTAATTTACTGAGCCAAGAGGCAGTATAAAGGAATATCTGCCTGCTTGGTGAGTATTGTATTTCTTCAGTAAGCTGGTTCATAAGTTCAGCGCATCTTTGGTTTGTATTGCACTTGAATTATTGATTGCAAGACTTTAAGAATGATATTTATTGGTGTTATTATTGCTGTCACAGTAGTAGCACAAAGTTACTAATTTAATGCAAGGGAGTGGATTATTTCTAGATATAAAATAATTAAACTGCTAAGTGATAGGAGACAGAAGTCTGTGAAAGTATCTACTGTTTGTTATGACCACATGTGATAGGAACCTTCATGCAGCTRCCACAGGGAAGCTTCCCATCCGGATGCAGGGTGCTGACATTGTCAAGGGTATATTTGCATGAAAGAGAAGGAAAAGGAGGGCAAAAGGATTCAGTCAGTTATTTTCAGTTGTTCTGTTTCTCCAGCAACGAACAGCACAGTAGGGAGGATTATTTTTTAAGCTTACTTTACATGTATGGGAGCATTTTGCAACTTGAATTTAAATGCTTTACTACTGAACAAAAATATTTGAGGATTATTTGAGGATTAAAATACCTTTTACTTGGTGTTTCTGAGCCCCTCCTGTGTGCAATAAATGTGTGATATGAATGAAAGGAAGCACCTTTAAAAAAGAAAAAGAAAAAATGACCTTTGTTCGGTTAGATTAACATTTAAATGCCGTTTGTGTTCTTGCCCTTTGTATTCTTGGTAGTGCAATTGTGCAATTTCTTACCATTTTTTAAACTGTGAAACTTTGTTTTAAACCAAAAGAAAGAGGAGAAATTTATCTAAGCAGGGACTAAATTAGAGTAGCTAGTACTCTGCACGCCCTGGCATTAGTGTGCTGGTCCCTGCTTGACTTGTAAGTTCTTCTCTAACTGTTCTCCTGTCTCTGTTTATTTCATGCTAAGCAGATGGCCCAGAAATTAGCCAAAAGCAGGAAGAAGGTGCAGTACAAACTTCATCAGCTTGATGTTATGCCTTTTTTGTTTGTTTGTTTGTTTGTTTGTTTTCTAGGAGGGATTTTTCCTTTATTTTTGTTTTATTCTTTTACTTTCTGCATCCAGCAAGTTTTTGTTTAGATTTATTTCTGAGCTGCCAAGCAAGTTGACATTTCTCAGAAATGAGTTGCCTGACTGGCAATTATTTTGTTGTCGTTGCTTATCATTAGCCATTTCATGTTAGAAATGGGGCAAAGATTGGATTTATCAAACGATTAGAGGCAGTATCCAAAATATGTACTAAAGAAACAGCACTGACATGACAAAGGTTTCAACTCTGTAAAACAGTGGATTGGATTGAATAATAAGGTCTTTTTTTTTAATCCCTCAGTGAGGAGTATTTTGCTTGATTGATAGGTGTATTGTATTGCTGGATGCAAAAAAGAAAAAAAAGTTTACATATATACACAATAATATGCTGAGATTGACCAGTTTTAGTAATAATTTTTGTTTATGGAGTTTTAAGCCTTTTAACAATTTTTAGCTGTATTTGTTTTAAATTATAAGCATTTGCTTTCTGTTAACAAAGGTATCATTTCTCGAGTGGGTTAGTGCTTGAATAGTATGTTTTCTGACTATGAAGACCTTCTTACCAGAACTGCATTATAGATTGATTAAAGCGTACCCACCTGTGGTACATGTTTTTCCTTGGGTCTGAATAATCACTGTTAAACCATATAGAAACTCCTCAGGCAAGAGGTACCTGTAGTCTTTTGCATGGCTTGTGTGAAAAACRTACCTTAAAGTGAGATTCATAATGTGAGAAATATCATTTGATTTTCACAGAATCTTTATGCAGTTCATATTGCAGTGAGGTATAACTTYGCTGGATCAGAGAAATGATTAGACAGGCTTTTATGGAATTAACAATTTTTCAAATAATATCTAATTAACTTTCATATATATCTATATAATTTCCATATCTTTGTGTTTATCTTTAGCTTTTGCAAGCTAATACCGTATTTTGGGTTGTTGTTCTGGTGACTGTGTCTTAGYGTGTCCCTGTTGGTGATCTAGCATCATTTTAAGGCTTTTATCTAATAGCTTGTTAACGCTGATCCGTTTATTCGCAGGCTCCAGAAGGTGAATCTCAGCCCATGACTGAAGTGGACCTGTTCATTTCTACACAGCGAATAAAAGTATTGAATGCAGACACACAGGTATACATGAAGAAGCCAGTGTCTGTGTTGTAGTAACAGTCTGTTAGACCCTCAGCTACCTGTGAAAATGTGGCTTTCCAAAATGTGATGGTTATTTCCCGCCAGGATTTCCTAGTAAGAAATCCATGCTCAACCATACCCTACATGTATTACTCATTTTTAACCATAAGAGCTTACCGCAGTCAGCATACTTCTTATGAGAAGCTAAGTTTACAGAATATTCTAGGCAGCCTGGTATGGTAGCATGGCAAGGATAGGTTGGGCATAAAGTAGTATAAAACACGAGGCTGTGATAATTTGAAGTTCATAATTCTGCATGTTGGTCCCATATGTGCTCTGCACCTTCAGGTTCTGAATTTGAAATCTTGCATTCTTTTCCAGAGATAATGTAATTTTAATTTGTGAAACTTGCACTGCGGTTTGCTTCTGGAACGTGGAATTTCTCTTGGCACCTCCACTTGTGCWTGAAGCTTTGTACGGACCTTACTAACAAGGGTCTCACAATTACCGTGAGGGTGTTTGTCTAGCACCAGGAGCGCAGTAAGAGCTTCCTGGAAATAGCTGATGATGTTGGCTTTTCTGCTGCCTAGGAAACCATGATGGATCATCCCCTGCGGACCATTTCCTACATCGCAGACATAGGGAATATAGTTGTCCTGATGGCGCGTAGACGAATGCCGCGCTCCAACTCCCAGGACAACGTGGAGGCATCTCACCCTTCCCAGGATGGAAAGAGGCAGTACAAAATGATTTGCCACGTCTTTGAGTCCGAGGATGTAAGGAATTACTCTTGTCTCATGGKTGTCTGGGGGGAGAAATGTAAGCGCATTTTGACACAGTCCATCACTAGTGCTCTGTTTATCTGTTAACTGAAAAAAAATACTTCATTTAAGCAGAGGAACTTGTGTTTTGCATCTTGTTGATATTTTATTCACAGAATTGTTATTTATAGAAAAGCTTCCCTATTTTAAGTGCTTACAATACCAGTGGCAATGAGGGGCAGGCCTGCAACTTTCATAGACTAKCTCAGAAATTCTGCCTGTTAGAATGACCGTCTATCAAATACACTTTTTTTGATGTAACTTTGTTATGTAACTAATGGAAGCCCAAGTATCTATGGCAGAAAAATGCCACACAATGTTGTCTAATAATTTAGGAAGAAAGCAAATCTAATTTAGCTCTCAGCCCTTCAAATAACAAGTTATAGGCTGTTTCCATGGAAAATGTCATTAATGTTAGCCACGTGGTTCAATTGAATCATATAGCCCAAACTACAGACGAGGAGGTAATTTCTATTTATTTCTGCTTCCTGTGCCTAGCATATATGAGCTTACCTCATGTGCCTCATACAAGGTGAAGAAAAGAGTTGTTTTTCACTTCAGTGGGAGTTGAACTAGTTAACAGAAGTTAAAACTAAATCACTATTTACTTTGTAACTGCTCGTCTACCTTTATAGTCTGTGGAGTATGAGGGAGGACTTTCAGATAGGAAGGTTCCCTAGAATATARACAGGAGATTTTATGTAATAGGGACCCTATTCTGAATTTACSCTCAGGTAGCTTCTCTGGTGGCAAATACCAGAACCTATATTGCTGATTGCCCACTGCAGAGACCAAGAGCACTGATAAAAGTTCTACCAAACTTTGACAGAGAATATAAGAAATGATGGGGTTTCAAAACTTTTTTTTAAGTGCAAATAAGCAAGTTCTGGAAAATCCCCCAAGAAACTAGTGTGCAAGTGCAGTTAGTGATTTGGAARGCATGCTGTCATTTGATAAGCTGCCCAGATTCAGGCTGTTTTTCAGGCTAATTCCTGTATTTCCGGTCACAAATGTTAGCTATCACTGAATTCTTTTACTGGCCTGTTGAAAAAGTAGAGATTATATTGTCAGATGCCAGCAGTAGCGTCTGCTTTTCTTTGAGCCTGTGATATCTTAACTATGATCCCGGATCTTTTTCCTAGGCTGTTCTTAATTCCATGGCTGGCTGGAATCTGTTTCCATTTGGGGATCACTGGAGTTGCTTTAGTTGTTTAGTTGGATSAGGTTGTACTCGTGTCAGATGTGATCCTCCCTGTGCCAGTAGATACTGGCCTGGAAAGTACGTGCCTGTTGTTCCAAAGAAAACATCATTCAATAGCGTGAAAATATGCTAAGAAATCCTGGTGATTATGTCAGATGTCCTTGAACCATGACGTAGCTCACAAATAGCTTGCAAAAATTGTCTCAAAAATCCAGATGACTAGGAAAAAATAGTCAGGAGGAATAGAGTGTAAACATCATAGTAGCTGTTAGCAGCAAAGAGGTTGCAGCTCCAAAGATCCCGGACCTCCAGTGGAGCAGTACAGACTGCACACGCTACAAATTCGTATGTTTCACTGTCRTTTATTTGGCATCTGGGGTGGTGGGATATCTAGAAGAATTTACTTGGTCGCTGCCTCATAAACCATGAGCTGTCCAGTCATTGTTGGCCAAAGTGCCTTCCTGCTTGTGATGGTCCTTGCATGAGGAGCTTTCATGGCATGCAACAGTTTTGTGTGTCTACATTGGAGCTGAACTCTTTTCCAAGAAAAGTGTCTCGGTGTTTATGCGTGATCGTACAGTCTGTACCTGTCTCCTCTCTTAGCTTGGTGAGCTGAGGAGCTGTACTTCTGTTTTCCTGCTCTCTTGTTCTTGATGTCAAAAACAGGTTAATCTGAGCGTTGCCAAAAATAATGACAGGCCAGGCATAGGCCTCTGCAGTGCCAACAATCGTGCTCTTCTCATCAGCAGGTTTAGTGCTAGCTTGAGTTGYTCTAAGGTAGCTGCCAGCTCTGTTTCAGGGCTGGGAACCCTTCCTTCCTTGTGAGTCCCACTGGATGTTGCAGGTAGCGGGCAGCCATGGAAAGGCACCTTGTTCCCCGGCTGCTGCCGCATGGAAGCGCCCGGCTCCGGGTGGCTCTCGGCAGCTCCGGCCCTTGCGCCACAGCCCTTGTCCCCAACTTCTGTCCCGCAGGAGGAATTTGTGGGGATTTGGTGCCGGGAAGGTGCTGGGAGGGTGCAGGTACATGCCACGTTGGATGGGCTGGGGAGGAAAAGCGGCACGGAGCTGGCAGAGCCAGYGGTGCTATGGGGAGAGGGCAGGGAACACGGTGTCAGGCTGAGGATGGCTCGAACACGAGGAGCTGTGATCGAGCACTGCCATCCCTCCAGCACATTGCATTTATTTTTTATAAGGGTTGCAGTAACTCGTGGGAAGGAACCATTTTACAGTGTGGCTGTAAGYGAAAGTGTCCACAGGCAAGATCCTGAGAGCACCTGATTTCCCTTTTTTGTCCTCCTTTTCTCTGCTCCGGGATGTGCTACAGGCGCAGCTGATTGCACAGTCCATAGGTCAGGCGTTCAGTGTGGCCTACCAGGAGTTCCTGAGGGCWAACGGAATCAACCCGGAGGACCTCAGCCAGAAGGAGTACAGCGACCTGCTCAACACCCAGGACATGTACAATGACGACCTCATCCACTTCTCCAAGTCTGAAAACTGCAAAGATGTATGTCCTGTTTTGTCAGAACAGAGTTTGCCCTACCAGCTGCAGGTCCATGCTGGCAGAAATTAGAAAACCATTAGTGCTTCTCGTAAATGACTCGATGAGAACAAAATATCCTTCCCAGTAGGACAGCCTGTGGGCAGTTCTGTTTCGAAGGGAAACAGTGAATCCAGAATTTACCAGCAGTGAAATAATTTGCCATCTGTTTGTGTTCTCTTTACCAAGCAGTTTTGAGACATACAGGACACTGCATGTTATTGAAACTAACTTAAAACAGACTGCTAAAAGTATTCAAAAAAAAAAAAAAAAAAGTATGGAGGCAGTATTTGATACAGTGTTTGATTCCTGCTTTAAGAATTGTATATGTTGAAGGAAATTAGTAAAGATGACCCAGGTCACCATTGCATCACGCAGGTCATAAAAGATTCATAAAAGATACTGGTGTTTTTGTGGGGAGGACTGTTGAAACTTCCTTCTCACATTGTTCAAATTGTTTGAAATACTTTATTCTTACAATGCAGGTTTACATTGAGAAGCAAAAGGGAGAAATCCTTGGTGTGGTTATCGTGGAGTCTGGCTGGGGATCCATCCTGCCCACGGTKATCATAGCCAACATGATGCACGGAGGGCCCGCGGAGAAGTCCGGGAAGCTCAACATAGGGGACCAGATCATGTCCATCAACGGGACCAGCCTCGTGGGGCTGCCCCTCTCAACCTGCCAGAGCATCATCAAGGTAGGCTGGGCAGCTCTGCAGGACACACGATTCAAAAGTGCTACAGCATAACAGTAAGTAGAAAGCATAGAACTGTATGTTTYCTCATTTCTACCAAGTTTTTGGCTAGCACTCCCCATTTCATTTGTTACCGTGAGTGTATTYACAGAAGAACAGGGCAAACCAGGCAGTGCTGCCTGTTATTCTGAGTCCCAGGAAGGGAGCTATGGCATTTAATTGCATAGGTAAGGATTCTGTGCAGAACTTCGGGCCCCAGGACAGTATTTGGTTCAAAAGGAATATATCACTATAAATGCCTGGAGACACTTAAAACTTTACATGACAAATGGAGACCCAAATGACCAGCATTGCCSTAAGCCATTTTTGCTGTTTAAATGCCTCTTAGGATCTAACTCAAAGGGAACTGAGTCTTTTTGTCCTTCGTTTTCTTTTTTTGGTACAGTTGTTGAAACTTTTAAACTTAATCTTGAAGAAAAAGGAGCCTATTTATGATCTGCAAAAGCTACCTGAGCTAGGTGGAAGTGAAATGTTCCTCTTAATTTGTCTRAACAGTGTGTTTTATCGGAAGATTTCTCTTCTTTGTCACAAGAGTATGTGATTGCAAAAAGCAAGCAGGTCAGCTGGAACTAAAGAATGCCTGAGGTAGCTGCAGCTGAGAAGGGAATGGGTATGTAGACATCAAAGCTTCCAGAAAGGGGGAGTTTCCCTAGGAAATGCCGTAGGTAAAACTAAAATGAATCCTCGGATGTCTGCTGAAGTAATCCTGCAGAGCCCCTTCACGTGGTAGCATGTAGACATGCAGGGTCACACTATACAAAAGTCCCCTTATTTCTAGGAATATACCTATGAAATTTTATTTTTGCTAATTCCTGCTATGTAGTTGTATTCTGCAATACCTGTTTTTTATTTTGTATTACTTTGTGAATTACAGAATTACATAGGTTTGTGTTTGTCCATGGCTGGTGTCCTAATGCCCGAGATAAGACGTCTGCTCGGAAGACGTCTGCCTTTCTCGTACCCAGGGATGCCGCTGCTGTGCCCTGAGGAGTAACAGAGGCACAAACCTGAGCCTGCCCTTTTAGATCCAGCGAGTGCAAAGGAAACTCTGGAAGGGCAGGACACTAAAGCCGTGGCAGAAAAGGGCAGTCTCTTTTCTATGTGTGAGAAGAGAGGAAAAATTAATCATATTAAATATCTCCTTGCCAGCTTTGGTGGAACCAAGCTGGCTGCAAATTTAGGCTCTTCATGTGTTTTTGCTTTGCTGTCCTTCTTTCCCATCCCACATCAGTTTTATTTCAGAAACTGTGGTGAGTTTTGCTGCTCTGTGCCTTTTAGAGCCTTTCCAGGTAGACTTTTGTTGTGAAATGATGAAACATTTCTGTGCTTTCTTAAAACAAAAACAAAGACAACTTTGCTGTCTCCAGCTTCTAGAGACCCTTGTAGACCCTTCTGGAGACTCCTTCCTCGCAGGTGCTTGTGGCTGCTGCCAGAGGAGCTGCTGTTTATCTCGTCTTTCCAAAGAAAAGCTGGGGTTTGGAGCTGTTCATACCCCTGCTCCYGGATGACGCTCCAAGGAGGCAGCCTAGTACGAGCACATTCAAAAGTCACAGAAGGATCTCAGGGTTTCAGATGTTTAGCATGTTGCAAAGACTCCCATGAAGAGAGTTCCYTGCATTTGAAGTACTCCAAGTACTTCAAATAAGATTATTTTTATGTTATAGATGCAAGCTCTGCTACTAATTTACCATAACGCAATTGTAGACTGGCAGAGCTAAGAAGCCGCCTTCCATATGTGATGCTTATTCCCTAACTGCATTATGCTACTAGTTAGGTCTCTTTCCAGAGGCATCTGCTGGGGTCTGCTGTTGTAAACAGACTCCAGGCCGATCCACATGATCTAATTAGCCATTTTTAAAAAATATATACTTTATCCAAAATTTAAAAAAAAAAAAAAATGGGGACATGCGACTTTTTCCCCCTCTTTTTCTCTGCCTTTTCTTAGGAATGTGGAAAGATAGACCATGTGTTCTTCAGGAGAATGAGGGCATGGGTGCCATCCATGCAAGGGCAAGGCGCCTGGCAGGGGCCCGTCCTGCTGCTCCCAGGGCTCAAGGGCCCTGCCTGCCTGGGCCGGCCGAGCCGGGGCGCGACGGGGGGCAGCACCGGGGGCCAGCCCCGTCCCCAGGGGCGGCTCCGGGGGCCAGCCCCGTCCCCAGGGGCAGCACCGGGGGCCAGCCCCGTCCCCAGGGGCGGCTCCGGGGGCCAGCCCCGTCCCCAGGGGCGGCTCCGGGGGGCAGCGCCGTCCCCAGGGGCGGCTCCGGGGGCCAGCCCCGTCCCCAGGGGCGGCTCCGGGGGGCAGCGCCGTCCCCAGGGGCGGCTCCGGGGGCCAGCCCCGTCCCCAGGGGCGGCTCCGGGGGGCAGCGCCGTCCCCAGGGGCGGCTCCGGGGGCCAGCCCCGTCCCCAGGGGCGGCTCCGGGGGGCAGCGCCGTCCCCAGGGGCGGCTCCGGGGGCCAGCCCCGTCCCCAGGGGCGGCTCCGGGGGGCAGCCCCGTCCCCAGGGGCGGCTCCGGCCGAGCGGCTTTGCCGCGGTGGCCGCCAGGGCAGGGCTGGGGCGGCCGCGCGCTGCAGGTGCCGGCCTGGGTGCTCGAGCCACCCGCGGGGTCCGTGGCCGGCTTTGGGCCGCCCTGTCAGTCAGGGACCCCGGGCACAACGGCGGATGGTCGGCGCAGCAGAGGAGCTGCGGGGCAGGCGGCACAGGGGGCACGAGGCCGCCCGACGGGACACGGGCACCGCGCAGTGTCGGGTCCCCTCGGCGCGGCCGTGGCTCCGGAATGGGCACGGGCAGCATCACGGCCGTGGCTCCGCGCACGGCRCCGCCACCTCCCCCATGGCAGCTGTACCGGCCTTGGCCACCTCGCCGCTGCGGACACCCCTGCCATATGCCATGTGCCGTGGCATCCCCATGCACGGTTCCTGTCCTGAAATCAGGGAATTGCCTTCAGGGTRCCAGGTTTCTTAGAACAGCTGTCAGCTTCTTGGTAAGCAGAATTTGACGCCGAGTTGTTTGTTTCACTGAATATCCCCCTGCTCGTGTCTGGTACTCAGTGCTCCTGTTCCTTTGGGATGCACACATAAAGCACGGCACATTCGGGGCTGTTCCCATACCAGTACTGCAGCAGTCGTGTTTTCCAGAGCCCCTGTTACATGTTGCACCCTGTCTTTGMCAGCGTTTCTCAGGGATTTGTTTTTACAGGGTTTGAAAAACCAGGCCCGGGTTAAGCTGAACATAGTGAGATGTCCTCCAGTAACCACCGTCTTGATCAGGAGACCAGACCTCCGATACCAGCTGGGCTTCAGTGTGCAGAACGGGATCGTAAGTCACCTCCAGACCACCTGGGGAAGCCGTAACAGAGTGAAACCTCTTGCTGGTGTGTGACAAAGTGGGAGGGGAAGAACCTGCCGTTCCCTTCCTCACTGCAGGGAGGACTCGGCACACGTGTTGAGCCCAGCGTGCGAGAGCTGGGCTGCTTGGAGCTGCTCTGCTCTGCTCCCCTTGCAGCTGGGGAGTCTCAAAGGAGCAGAAAGGCTGCTTCAGGTTAGAGCAGGAACTGCAGCTGAGGCTGGTTTACGTCTATATCATATCTCTAACAAATACATTGCAGGACCTTGAAAGAAAGATGCTGTCCCTGATTCTCTTTTAAGGGAAGGCATCTGCATCCTGAACATTGTTAAGCTGTGACCCTTCTTGGGCTCTTAAAACTGCCAGACCACAACACGAGTGCAGCACAGCTCCAACAGCCTCTGCTCGCGGTTGTTTTTGCTCTTGGGCGAGAAGGTGCCATCTCTGTCCCTAACAACATTTACCTTGAATGAGCAATCCATTATTTCTTAGACTTTGTTACAAGGACATATGCTTAAATGCTGAGTGACAGTTTGCAGGCAAAGGTAAATGAACTGAAGTGTGCTGCATATTCAGACTTTGATAAATTTGTCCTGTGCTCTGCAGATCTGTAGCCTTATGCGAGGAGGAATAGCAGAGCGGGGCGGCGTGCGTGTCGGCCACAGGATCATCGAAATCAACGGGCAGAGTGTGGTTGCAACACCCCACGAGAAGATTGTGCACATCCTCTCCAACGCTGTTGGCGAGGTAAGAGGTGTCACGTGTGTCACCACTGGTACCTCTCGTGGGCCGTTGCTGTTCAAATTTAAATAGCAGAAGTGAAACTCCAGGACAGCACACCATTTCCTTTATTATTTGCTCATAGTTCTCATGTATTTTAGAAACACCCTCATAACAATAKTAAGTGCCCGCAGCTGTAGATGACTGGCTGATGCTCCATATTCATGAATGGCCACRTGTGATGGACAGGGGTATGGAAGCTGTCAGGCTTCACCTTTTCCTCGTGCCCCACAAGACCGTGGCAGGGCCCGGCCAGCAGCTCTGTGCGGGGAGCGCAGACTGACCTGCCTTGTTCTCCGCAGATCCACATGAAGACGATGCCGGCCGCCATGTACCGGCTGCTGACGGCTCAGGAGCAGCCTGTTTACATCTGAAGGCCGGCACCTCTCCAAGTGCATGGAGGAGCCTTCTCCTCGCCAGTGCTTGTGTCTCTAGTGCTGCATTTCTGTGTCTGCAGAGACCTTTTCTTCTTTCTCACACACACGTGTCCTCCCTCTCCCTTGCTTCCTTCCTCCCTCCTTCCCTTTTCTCCCTTTCCCCACTATTTCCCRGCTTATGGGGAAGGGGGAAGATACATCTGTGGGACTGTTTTGGTTGCATTCCTTTTTCAAGTGAAGCTTTATGCAGATCCACATGCAGAAATAGGCAAATAACAGCAGCAGTGCTCACAGCTGGGTTCACGAAAAGGGTTAACTGTGTTTTATGCTACATAGTTTTATTTCTGTGGCTATAATTGATGACATGAGTAAGTGTTGCTGAAGGAAAGCTGACTTTACCAAATAGATACAGTGATAGTGTCTTTGTAGAGCTGTCTTGGACACCACGCGTGTTCCTTTGCTTCTCTTCCACTATTTCCCTACCAGCGCTGAGCTCAGTGTTAACCATTATTAATTGTAGGGAAAGCAGGATTCTGAAAGGGTAAGTTTCACCGTGGGTGAAGGATCACGTGCTCATGAAGAACGAGAAGGTGCTGCTGTGGTGACACCACCTGCCCAAACGCAGCACCTTTCAGTTCCCCTCAGCCATCAGTTCTTCGGGATAACAGAGCTCCAGGCAGTATCCGGGACCTGCTGGAATGCGCTGCAGTTTCCTTGCTCACACCAAGTCCTTTGGGGAGGTGTTTCCTACAGCTGCCCCTCCTCACCCCCGCTTTCTGTCTCCTCGTTTTCTTCTACTTTGTTCCTAAATGCAACAGGTCTTTTATAGTCCCCCGCCTATTTTGGAAGTTAAATGAAATGGGGCTGGGGGAAGGACCTTTAAATACCTACAAGGAAGATAGTGGGGGGCTGTCCTGAGTAGCTACACTTTTTCTAGGCTCTTGCTTCCAGATTTGTGCACACAGAGAAGTGTGCCGGTGTACATAGACATTTTTAAAACTTGCTTGCTATTTATGAAGTTTGAATATAAGAGATCTGCATACCATTCTGAGTAATTTTGTTCTCTGAGCCAGTTTTAACATATATATTTGTCCAAAGATCCGTCTAATTGTATCAGCATTTTCTTTAGTTAATGACATAGATAACAGTGGAAGAGGTAAGGTGGAATAAATTTATTTATTTTGCTATATGTTAATTTTTTCTATATATATGATACTTAAAGGATATTTGTGTGTACTATATGCACTTGTTTGAAGACAATATACTATGGGGATATGTAAAATTTAGCATTTGATAGGCCTCTAACTTTCATGCCATAAGTAGATTTTTTTTTTCTTTTTTAAAAAAGCAGAAGTTTTTCTTCCAAGCAAGACGAAATCATCTCCTTCTCTGTGGTTACATTTCACCAGGACTGAATACTGATGTTTTCACCAGAACTGAGTCACGCATTAGGCCAGGATAATGCCTTGAGATAGATAGATATATATATATATATATACACACACACATATGTATGCATATATATGTATGTGTATGTTTATATATTTCCCTAATGGACAGTTTCTGGGGTGTCTGGCCAYGATAGGGAGGCTCAGTGGGATGTGAGTGGGGGACACAGACACGTGCAGCCCCTGCAGCCCCTGCCCTGCGTGGGGCGATGCTCGTGGTGGCCGCGGGAGGGCCGAGCCGCGCGCAGCGAGGCAGCAATCCCTAGGGAATGCTAGGGATTGCTAGGGAATCCGTAGGGAATGCCCGGAGATGACGGACACGGCGCCGGCCTGTCTCCGTGGGTGAGAGCCACTGCGTGCTCGCCTGTCGCCGGGGTGCATTCCTGGCTTGTGGAAATCATGGGAATCCATGGGCTAATCAGGGTGARCGAATGAACTCTGCATCTCAGTGGGCAGTAAATATTTAAAGGAGATGATGGAATAGTGCGCACGCTGTTGTAGTAAGTGAAGCTGTTTTAGTGTGATATTAATGTAGAATGACTTGATTTACTGCAGTTCTTGTTGTTAGATAATTTAATTCCAATCTTGGAATGGCAGATTGCACAAGAGAGTGATATTAGTATTTAAGGTTAGTAGTTACCTCTGCTACCAGACTGATGCGGATAGATAGTGAATGACCTGTATGTTGTTTAACTGTAGGCATTGGTTTATGAGGATCATTTGATTTTTTTTTTTTTTTGAGAACTTTCTATATATAGTAATATATGTAAATATGATATATAACCGTGTACAATTCAGAGGACTATATACAGTGCAGCCTTTACGTAAGTTGCCTGAGGAAGCTCAGCAGGCTCTCGAGGACGCAGCTCTCGCACTTCTGGCTCCTGCTATGTTTACGCCCTCGGCTTCTCTCGTTGCGTTTGTCGCTCTGTCCAACTCGTGCAGCAGGGTCTTCCGCTCACTCCACAGAGTGACCAGGGAGCCCTAAACATGCAAAAATACTTGGGGATGCAAAAATACATGGGGATGATACAACTGCGTCTTTGAAAACAAGGCCATTACCTCGGCAGTGAAGCGTACGCTTCGTACTGGCACGTCAGTGCTTAACCAGTTCTCTCACGGTAGGTGACAAATAGGTGCCTAGAGCTCAGTGAGCGGGAGCGCGCGGGCTCCGAGCCCAGCCAGGCCCTGCGTGTCCCGGCCGCGCCGTCGGAGCGGGATTTCTCCAACCCGGAGACGTGCTGTGCGCCGGAGGTGCGCGGGGCGCACGCGCTCCGGAGCACGGCTCCCACCTCGGCTTGCGGGCGGAAGGAGTCTCAGGAGCAGGGAGCTCACAGGGAGAGTTGGCATTTCTCAGACTAGTGCAGCCTTTTGTTAGATTTTATGTGTGTGAATTCTTTATGGATTCCAAGAACAAACTGCTGCTTTACATTCCTTCTTCAGTGACTGCCCTGAAATTCTTCTTTCCTTCCTCCCTGCTTCATACATTCTAATGAACTCTTCAATGTTTACATTAAGGATGAAATATCCTTTACACTTTTTTATTGACAAATTTCATGCTTTTTTTTTTTTTTTAATCTTGTTCAAATTTATTGGGATTTCCAGAATTGTTTGCTGTTTTTTTGTTTGTTTTCTAAATTAAATAATAAGTTTCTGAAGATGGCAATGTGGTTGAGATCTCTTGTACATACTTAGCACAGTACCTAGAGTATGAAGTTGTACTATTGTTCTGTAAAGAGGGTGAATAGAAATTATTGTAAAGCGTTGGGAAAAGTATAGTATTGTATTTGTAACAATATTGTTCTTTGTAAACACTTAACTCAATGATCTCTCTATATAAATATAAATATATATAAAAAATATATGTGAGCCTGGAATGTTGATACTGCACATCTACTGAATGTAATTCCGCTGATGTTTTTTGCCACGGGTCTCTGACCTCTCTAATAAAGCTGCAGTGGTTTGGTTGGGGGGGGAGCGGAGGAGGAATTGTTTTTTYGGTTGTCGTTGTTGGGGGGAGGGGGCTCTGGCCAGCTGTTCTGTTGTGGTGTATTTACTGTGCTACATTCCTTTATTTAACAGAGCGCTAATGTCTGTAAGATTTGCAACAATAAAATTCAAAACAAAAATACCTCAGATGAGGCTGAGCGTTTGCTGGCACTAGCCTGGGATTTGCCTTGCCGACACTGAATGCATGAATGCTTGGAAGGTATTTCTCTCTTTGTCACTTAGTTTGGAGTAACAGTACACATATGTTTGCAAATGTGAACCAGTGCTATTAACTTTATTCTTAAAACAGCATTATTTTCAGGTAATAAATGAAAGAGCTGCTCYTAAATGAAACTTACTCTGTATCTTAGGTTGCATTCCAGTTTTTGCTGTGTTAACTATCACCATGTTTGAGTCTTCCACAAATATATTATTTAAAGACACCTTCGGTATGACGGAAAAGTCATTTCATTGCTTCATTAAGATTAATTATCATCTTAAACACACCTTTTTCATAAATGAGATTTTACTAAAAGTACTTTWTGTCATACTACCATTTCTGGATTTGTTATTTTCCTCGGAAGGTCATCAGTATGATTTATTCTGAAAGACCTGGCAGAGTCTGAGAGCRCTGCTGGTGAAGGGAGTCTTCTCGCTGGTTCCTAAAGCTGTCTGCAAGGCAAATGAGACTGCATTTGGAAATGGAGTGGAGGGAAGGCATTTATCTTTTGAACATAAGGTAGCTCATAAAGCTGGTAGGACAAAGCAAAGAAAAAATGAAGAGAAGGTGCAAGTGGGAGACTGGTTCTCATCAGAGAGATCTGCGTAATTTTTCTTTTTATGCGAGGATGCAGGGGGAGGACACAAGTAAATGAAAATAACTTTGTTTTAGCCAAGGGCTGCACTGGCATCTGCCATTCACAGCCTGCGAGGAGCTTGTGTGCGAAGCTCCTCGTGTACAGAAGTTCCTTGCTAATGAAGACCTGTGTTACGCTAGTGGCACAGTATGATGTTGTGAKGATTAGTTAGCTGCTAAGCATCTTGTACCTTTTGAAAGCGGTGCATGGTTTAGAGCAGCAGGAATAGTATTAAATGTGCTTAGGTCCTTTTTCTYGTCTCTCGCTAAGATTCCAGTTATGACTGGAATGAGGGGGAGCCTTGGCTCCGTTGCCACTTCTGCATCTGGGTATCTCAGGGCTTTAGGCTAAAAAACTTACTACATCTTCTTGGATTATTGGTGACTCCGTTATTTTCCCCAGGGCTTGCAGTATTTTTGTTCTGTGTAGTCTGTCTGGTATCTTGTAAAGCCATTAGCTTGCGAGAGAATTATTTTGTGGTAACTTGTTTCCCGTCTTGCAGTGTTTGCTGTTGTGCGGTCACTGTGCCGGAGAACACCCATCCATAGCCAGGTGCCAGGAAGGGGCTGCGGAGTTAGCCCGTGGTGCTGGCGGGCAGGACGCACCACACACAGAGTTAAGGCCCCTCGAGGTGTCGAGACCGTGACTGCAGTGCGAAGCCAGCAGGGCAGTCGAGTCGCTGGCAGAGAAGGGAGCCTGTCTAGGGAAGCCGCCTGGGCGCTGTCCAGGAAACGCGGCATTCCGGCGCTGCCGTGTGCAGGGAGGAGCTGCAGGCAGGGAGCCCGTGTGGCTGCAGGCTGCAGGCTGCACGCGGAGAGCAGGACGCGGAGAGCAGGACGCGGAGGGCAGGACGCGGAGGGCAGGACGCGGAGAGCAGGACGCGGAGGGCAGGACGCGGAGGGCAGGACGCGGAGGGCAGGACGCGGAGAGCAGGACGCGGAGGGCAGGACGCGGAGGGCAGGACGCGGAGGGCAGGACGCGCCTCGCTGGCTGACTGAAAGGGCCGTGAGCCGCCGGCGCTCGCTCCAAAGCTGCGCCCAGCTCCCTGGCTGGCAGCTTTCGCTGCCATCTGGCTTTTCCTCTTGTCTTCTAAAGCATGAGTGACTGGTTCAGCAGGCTTGTTTTTTACAGCTCCCCAGGGGAACTGCTTACCTAGGCAATAGCTTGATTCCTGTGTTTTGTAAGTAATTGTGTTTTACTTGTCCTGGAGTGATTACTCTRTCAATTTGAAGTTAATTGCTACAATAAGCAAATAGTTTATTGAATACAGTTTTTACTTTTTCCTTTTACCTGAAGCATTTACCTGCCTTACCTACCTAACACATAACTCAGAAGTGACAGGGAGCTATACTGGATGTTAAGCCAAAAACCAGTCTTGACCTGTTAAAAGCTACTGGAGCAGTTTGCACTGCAAACCAGGGGGCATAATTCTTTTTTTTTTTTTTTTTTTTTTTTTTTAACAGCCTAGTTTTAGAGGGGGAATAATAAACTAAGAAAAGAAAGTTAATCTTTTTGAAGATCAGAAAGAACTCCTACTTAAAAAGAYGCGTGTAAAAGGAATCTGTTAACAGTAATGGAGTTCAAAAAACAAACAGAGCTGAGGAAGGAGCTACCACAGTGGAGCAGCAGGTTCTGGGATGTTCTGTTTTGCATTTGTTTTGCTTTGTCCCTCCCCTTTGTCCCTCAAGACAAGATTAAAAAAAAAAAAGAAAAAAAACAGTGCCTTACCGGACACGGAAGAAAAATCCACCAGTTTCAGAGTGCAGAGAAACATTTTATTTTACTCAGGTTATCATCTTTCATGCATCAAAYTGCATGAACGGTTTTTCCTTCAGAGCAAGCTTAATCAAAATCACTTTAAAGCTTTATCTTTTTCAGTAGGAAAGCTGTTTAATAGTTGTTAGATGAAGCTTTATCTCTAAAGCAACAGGAATACACTGTAGCCTTCTGCAAATCAGCAGGATGGTTACGGGCAGTTTCGGGAGCAGTCACAGTGTGCCTGATCCCTGCCTTTGGAAGCACTGCAGTGTATTCCCAGGTAGCAGCATACATACAGAACTGAGTTGGACAAACGAGCTGCAGCTTGAGGCACCTGGCTCGTGCACTGACCTGCAGCCAGGGAGCCGCAGCCCTYGGGGGGCTTTGGCCAAAGCCACGTCAAGTAGCAGGAGACCTGCCTGTTTGGAGATGACTGTGTGAATGGTAACTGCTTTCAGCACGGATGGCTGCTGATACKTAAGAAGCACCTCTGCTAGGAAAAAAAAAACTGCTAAAAATCAAGCAAGCAACAGCACAGAAGCACAGGCCCTGCCTCTGGCCTGTGTTCTTCAGTGAGATGCAGACTGCACCCAGGCAGAACTATTCTCGACCCACCTCCCATAAGTGAAGGCACCGAATCCTGCACCCTGTCTCTGGAAAAGGAGTATCAAAATCAACTGCATGTTACATGGTGAGATTAAAAAGGTGCAAAGGAACAGTACTGTATCGCCACATGGTAACTGCATCTGAACAGCCCATGTTAAAGGCCACCTTGGAAACTGTAAGAGGTTTTGTAGAGTGAGTTTCCTCTCGAGAGTCTGAGCAGGAGGGCACAAAAAAATGCATTAGTGACACATTTTTCTACCTACTTGTCAGAAATGACGTTCCTGTTCGCAGGTCTGTCATGTCTGACACTAATGCTCTACGGTGAAACAGAAATCAACTCACAGCACAGTTTCCCTTACAACTCCAATAAGACTGTGCGGCCGCTCCTGTTCGAGACCCTGGACCCTTCTCTCTGCTACGTGACTTTCAGCTGGTGTAAAAGTGCTCAGGTCACCACAGCTCTCCAGGTGCAGCAACCCAGGCTGGTGTCTGAAAGGCAGCATATGGGCCCTCCATGGCACTGCTCGCTGGGCAGGGGTCATCACCTTTAAAAGGAAAAAAAGTAAAATCAGGTTCTTCTTTTTCCCCCCCCCATTGCATCAGCTTCCTGCCCAAAACATAAAGGCTAGCCTGACTATTGTCTATATAAAAAAACCAAAATCTAAGTGATGCCCTGTTAATTTGGGACACATGACTGGTATTTGCTAAAGAGGTCTGTGAAAAGCAGTCCTGTGGGGAAGGACACGGAGTGCTGCTTTGTCTCGCCGTCTCTTTCCACGAGGCTGCACATGAATACGTTCACCCCCAGCCTGGCTGTGTCAGTGACTGTTTAGTAGGAATCCAAATGCTGCTTCCTGCAAAAGCCACTGCAGGAACAAGCTTCAGCTAGAGTGAAAACCTGCTCCAAGGCAAATAATAAAGATTTAAGAAACTCCTAGGATGAGTGTTTCAGCCATGTAGGTCAAATTAGTTAYGCTTACATTGATGGCAGCAGTGCAAAATCTCTGTTTCCAGAACCCGAATTATAATTTTGGGGTTTTCTGTGAGAACTTAAAGCAAACACAGACGTTCTAGCAAATGACTTGTAACCACACCGAATCACCTCATCTTTCCAACTGCTCTGTATGTCATACAGACATTTAGACAAAGTTTATACTATCTAAACTTTTAAATATTGATTCCATTTAATGAAAGCACATTATTTTATTACCCTTTTTTTTTCCCTTTAGCAATAAGACTAATATTTGTTCTGGCTACCTACCATAAAAAAAAAAGTTTTTTGTGGATTTTTAAATGAAAATTTTACTGTTTTCATCTGTTCTTTACAGCTTACAATTATAAAAGTTTTGTAATAATCTCCTCCTTATCCCCCTTATATATGCGCAATACTGCCTTTTTTTTTTTTTTTTCCCCTTTTTTCCTTTGCATTCATGATTGCACCACACAGGACTATCTCCTTCAATTCTGAGGATACATGCTGTTCAGTCTTCTGAAAAACTTTGCCTGACCTTTGGGACTTCATGGCTCTTGTGCATTCCCAGATGTGAATGTACACAGATACTCATGAAATTAAACTGGGCTCAGGCATTTGGAGCTGGCGCGTGTCTAGAAATGTGCCCTCCAGAGCAAGGACAGCTTTGGTTTGCACATCACATCAAGCTACCTGCTCAAGAAAGCAGGTAATACAGCTACCTGCTCAAGAAAGGTGGCACTGGTGATGGCTTCTGCCATGTGCTCTTCGTCCGATTTCAGCACGGCCTTGATGCTCTCCAGCAGCTCGTGCACGTCGGGGGTCACGCTGCACGAGGCCTGCCCCAGGAAGCGAGCCACAAGCACCTTGGTGTCCATGTAGGACCTATAGTCTATCAGAGAGCGGGGTCTTGCCCTTGGCGCCCTGGCTCTCAAACCCCTCCGCAAAGTGACCRTGTCAAGGCCTGGTTTTAATTCAGTCTGAGTTGCAGCCTCACAGCTTAGCACTGGACCTAAAAACAAAGATCAAAATAAGTATTTCAGTTGAGAAGTACTGATAAACACATCCAAAGAGATTCCAGAACTGATCTAGCAATGATCTGCTGCACAGTTTGACCAATAAAACTTCACAATCATGATGGCAGTTATTAATCAGTCTGTACTGAATTTACTTATTGGAGAAAAAAAAATCTTCATATTGTATGTCAGAAAAAGTCTGGAGGAACATTTTGGTGAAAGTGAAGTTTTGCCATTTGTGTACATCAGTTTCCTTYTGCTTCTCATCAGAATGACTGATTGCAGCTGAAACAAGCAGGTAGCATTAACATTGGCATAAAGTAACACAATAAGTAAGCTGAATACAATTTGCTATTTTTACAATCTTACTGTATAACTAACATTCAGTTATTATCTGTGTAAAGAGTACTGAGTACAAGCTAGGTRGAAATAATTTCTTCTCAAATTATAAATAATTGATATTAAATAATTAATATTTAAAACTTATTTTCTTTCTGAAGAAAGAAATCAATTCAGAATGTCTTGGTGGGAGGGCTAAGCCAGAGGTGGCAGGGAGTCCTTGAGGGAGCTCTGCAGGGTTGGCATTAGGCCAAGCACAACATCAGGAGCACCAAACTTTCCCGGCGGGGGAACAAAATTGAACCAACTTCTCTTGCAAAAGGAGCTGACTTCCATTTCTGCAGTAGCTGCCTAGTTCACTTTCACCTCCACTGCTGAACAGACCTTATCTATATCTCCGTTACACACTGAGCCGCAGGGCCCAACTGCTTCYGATGGAGGGACTCTGCCTTCCCCAACACCCTGCTCTGTTTTCACGGCTATGAGTGGGCTCTGCTCTACTTAGCTACTCCTTCAGCAGCAGATTCTCGGCGGTCCTGATGGGAGGTTGACAGAAGGAAAGCRAAACAACAAAACGGGAAACGACTCCATGGAACAGTAAGTGATAATCCATATAGGCATATTCTCAGTATTCAAAACAAATGGTTATTACTCACATGCCTCCTCTCCACTCACTTTTTGCGTGCTACAAAAGTACCGCCAACTACTGTGGGCCTTGCAGAGCCCTCTAGTAAGATGGCAGGTTCTGACTAAGACTGTCAGCAAAATGATGCAGCCACACCRTCAGTTTCAACACAGCAAAGCGTCGTTGGCCCCTCCAGAGCACTATGACAGACATCACTGGGTGCCCATCTGGGTGTTTCCTTGGCTTAGTTTTTGTTGCTTGCTTGTTTTGTTTTCCACACCTAAGCTGATTTTAATTGTTTGCATCAACGCATGTACCTGAGTGTTTTTAGAAGTTACCACAGAATATCCCAAGTTTCATCTCTTAGAATTATAAAGTTATAGACTAGTTATGGCTGGAAAAGACCTTCCTCATTATCCCTCCTCTCCCAAAAAAAAGTAATACTGAAGACAGACCCTGTGAAAGCCTGAAGAGAAGGTGGGCTAAGATGGGAAGAGAAGGATGAGATGAATCATAAAGTTTGGTTTAATATAACTTTTTTGTTGGATAGAATGGTTGATTCAGTCACATGGTAGGATTATGGTGCTACCCTTTCTGATAATGTCCTTGTTAGAATTCATTAGACAGAAGCTTTGCTATAGAAAGACCAAGTCACCTTGAGGCATTAAGCAGTGCAGGACAGGGTCACTTTTGCATCGCTTCCGCAGGGGATGGAAGGCTCTCCTGGCTGCAGGCATTGTGTGTTCATTTGAAGGTGAAAGGCTCACTCTGCTGGAAGACTTAGGAATTTCTTCGCCTGAGTAAAGGTAATATAAAAGTCAGAGTAAAGCAGACCATAAAATAAAGATTTGCTTGAATTCTTTTTAACCTGTTTCATCTTTCCTGCATTCCTCCAGTTAAATATTTCTCCTCTTCCTTAAAGAAGTCATAGAATCATASAATTATTATGGTTCGAAAATAACCTTCTAGATCATCGAGTCCCATCACAAGCCCTTCAACATCCTGCCTGATGAACCATATCCCTAACTGCCTCCTCTACACRTTTCTTGACCACTGCCAGGGATGGTGACTCCATCACTTCCCTGGGCAGCCTGTCCCAAGGCTTCACCGCTCCTTCTGTGYAGAAATTCTTCCTCRTGTCTGACYTGAACCTCCCCTGGGACAACTTGAGGCTATTCCCTCTGGTCCTATCTRTAGTTATTCTGGAAAAGAGCTCAACCTCCACCTCCTTTCAGGTAGTTATCRAGCACTCTAAGGTCTCCCCTGAGCCTGCTCTTCTCCGAACTGAATAACCCATCGCCCTCAGCTGCTCCTCATAAGGTCTGAGCTCCAGCCCCTGCACCAGCTTCGTTGCCCTTCTCTGGACTCTCTCCAGCACCTCCATGTCCTCCTTGTAGTGAGGGGCCCAAAGCTGAGCTCAGGGTTCGAGGTGCGGCCTCCCCAGTGCCAAGTACAGGGGGACGATCCCTTCCCTGGACCTGCTGGCTGCTCTATTCCTGGTACAAGCCAGGATGGTGGCAGTGACATTTTGTCAACTGAAACAATGRTAGAGGTGATTCCATTTTACTGGTGAAACTATTTTCCTTAAGCCTATTTTTGTACTTACGTGTGATGGCGGCTGATGTTGTATAAGGAAAGAAAAAGCAAGAACAAAAAATTAATGTAAATGGTATATTATACAGAACATTAAAATGAACTTACTCTGATATGATTCTAGTATACTTGCTCATTTTCTGTGTCCTTCCATAAACATAAATAAAGTAAGACACTGTTCAGAGCTTTTTCTTTGCCTAAATTCTTTGCTTTGGCATTCAGAAAAAGCAGTATTCATTTTTGTAATTAAAATGCTTACTTTCTCATTGAATCTGAATTTAGCAGCCATGTTAAGATTTAAATTGCTCTTTACAAACCATTCAGAGCAGAAGAAATGGAGAGAGAAAGCTTGGAGAGAAATGGGGAGAAAGAGAGAAAGTTTACAAGATAGAGAGGAGGGGGTACTTTATCACATGAGCTCAGGCCTGCATATTTATGTCTCTGAAAATGTTTTTTAAATACAACATTTCTCATACTTTTTTTTTCTTTTTAAAGAGATTTTCATTCACCATAGTTAGCACTTCTGTAATCTTATTTTCCTGTTTTTTGTTTTTTTAACCTTAAGGACTTATCAGTAAGCTAGTGTTTGACACCCTTTTTCAGTTTGTAGTCAAAGCACACAGAGAAAGAAATGGTAATTTTGTCTATAAAAAGATTCTGAGATTAAACTTTGCCCTATCAGTCTTCTGATAGACTTTGTCTTCTTATTTTCTTTCTGGTCATTAGAAGACTCTAAATGTTTGTTTTCAGAGTTTCAGGCAATCTGATTTCCTTACTAAGGAAGTTTAAAAAAAATGTTTCTTGATTAAATACGGCTTTATGAAAATAATCTTTTTTTTTTTTTTTTCTCTCCTGCCATTACTTGATAGGGCCACTTCAACCAGTGAAGCAATGACCTTTATTTTCTTGTATTACATTTTTAGTATCTGTCTTTACTCCCTGTGTCCTTACGTTGTGAACGCTGCGCAGGGTAGGCACACATTCACAGAGCCATCTGCTGCACCAAGGGCAATCTGCATTGAAAGGGCAGGTTAACGTGAAGATTACAGTAGATGAGATGATTTTCCTCTTCGCCATGGACGTATTGGAAAAACTGCCTCTCGCTTACCTGCGAGCCAACTACGTTTTAACTGCAGGTGTACACAACAACAAGGAGAAGGGCTAGGCTGAATACAGCTCTGGAAGATAACAAGGTTTTCTGAAAAGAATGTTGAACTGAGTTTGGTCTGGCCTCTGCTTGTGGTCTTGCCATACGCTGTATGCAGACACCCATTAAAAATTCTTCCAGTGCAGGCTGGATAACAGAAGAAGCCCCATATATATCAACACTTAATTCTGATTCTTACTATATCAGCAACATAATGTCCACAGGCACCAATGTGTACATAAAACAAAACAAGAGCGCTGGAACTGGACACTATTTCTCACAAAAAGAAAATAAGTTTACATCTTATTATTTGCAAGATATTTTGCAAGTCCATACATTTTATCTTACAAGCAAATAACTTTTCTGAATTTTAGAGATTGATCCTACYATTCCAAAGTAATCATGATTCTGTATCTCTAACATGCAACATGGAGGCTGTTTTAGAAAGAAATGCTGCTGCTGCTGTATGAAATCATTTGGATTGCGTAGAACTCTTTAAAAAAATTGTAAATGATCTTTTACCTTGAGGGGCCTGCCTATCACTTGTGTTCACAGAATCAATAGCAACTTCTACCACAGCTACTTGTAGTGCGTCTTCCTAGAATAAAATCAAAAAGTACACAGAAAAAGGTGACTGATTTTTTAAGAACCGTAACATACACTTTACAAAGTGAACAGCTTTGCTTTATTGCAAAACAACTGCTACTCATTTAAATACACTAAGGGTAGTGAATTTTAGAATTCAGTGTCCATCACCATCAGCCAATTTTTTATCCTATTGAATACTTTCTGGAAAAAAACAGTGAACAGAAATAAAGGAAAAATCCTGATGCTGTCCCACATGGGAGGCACATAGGGACAAGATAGAGGTAAAAAGGTGTTGATGCAACAGTCCTACAGAGCAACCAGGAAATAGTGTCCTCTACTGCATGTTTTGTTGTATTTCCCACGGTCAGATAAAATTTTCCCTAGGCATCTTTCACAACACACAACTACGAAAAACATCTTAACTGAAAGGGGAGTTATTAACTGAAATCTTCAGTGCCATTTTTCGTGATCCCAGATATTTAACCAAATGCATTCTCCTGCTGTTCTTAAGTGAAAAAAATGAAAATGAAAAAATTTGATGGACATTTACTGTGTCTTGAGGGAACCATATCCTTTCAGCAAAAAAAACAAAATAATGGTTCTGGACTCTACCTGCTCACAGCTGTTCTGGCTCGCCACAGCCTCATAAGGAGGAGGTGGATCCAGGGGGCAGAACACTTCAATTCCTTTAATTCTAGCTCCATAAATATGTGGTAATGGAATCACGTCAGATCCAAGCATCCTAGGATAAACAACAAGTACAATTACTCTGTCAGTACAAATTTCACCTGCAGAAATACATAATCAATCAGCTACAGGGTCCCACTGGCTTTCCTGTGCCAACTCAGACTTTGAGATTTCAATCAAAGCTAATGAATTTGTCAATAGCTGTAAGAGAATTTTTGCAGAACAAGTCAGGAAATGGCTCCTCAGAAGGTGCCTCTTCAAAGAGCTCACCAAGATTTTACAAAACATCTTGAGGCAGCACTTCACCTGGGAACCCATTTTGGATTTATTGTGCAAAGAGTCGGGAATGGCACAGTTCAAACATGGATGGGATTTCCAGATAGGTCTGACTTTTTTGCCTCTATCTTYTTCATACATCCCACTACATGAAAAACAACTGAAATTCAAGATATTTCTGATATTATGTTTTACATTCAGATACTGCTGCATAGCTATCAACAAACCCAAACTAAGTCCACTTTTGTGATATTTTGAGTATTACAGTTAATTTTCAGAACAGTATAAGATGAATGTATTTTACTGTTAATCTTACTTTCTGGTTTTTAATATAGAGCTCTCTGCAACCTTAAATACAGCAGAAATCCTGAAGGGCTTTTTCCATATATCATTTTCCTTTTAGTAAGTAGCTCTGAAAGAGGGAAAAATAGTCCAGTCTCTGGTGAAACTCATTTTGGAAAACTGGACAACACTTTCATCTTACATCATTTAACACTGGAACAAAGTGCTGTGACTGACAAGGGGGCCACCAAAGGGAGTTTTCTGACAAAATTTTCAGTGAAGTGTTTGATCCAGACTGCACAAGTCTTTACCTACTTTTCATCAAGCTCCAACTACTCCTCACCTTCTCCATTTCTACCAAGGTTACAGAAACTTACATTTCAAGTTCCATTTAAAGCTGTTCTGGAAAGGAGCCAATACCTGAGCAGGTACTGGCTTTGTACTGAGCAGAAGAACCTCAATCAAGACACAGAATCCACAGGCCTTGCTCTCCAGATCCAACTAAAGCTCCCATCCATCCCTAACTGTGGATCTTCTACAAAGAAAAGCAGCCATGAGAGCAAGTCCCTTCTTCCAGAGTTCGGGGCTTCACTAAACGCTGGCTAGAGGAAGATGAAAATCTTCTTTATGCAAGCTGAGAGGAAAATGTAAAGGGAATGGAAATGCCTATGGAAGCTCATTTTAGAGGGAAAGGAATGCAACATGCAAAAGAAGAACCGGGAAAGATTTTTGATCAAGATCAAGGAAGGGAGATAATTCAGGAAGAAGTATAAGGCAAACAAAATGAAAGATCTGGATAATAATTTTAAAATTGGAGGGAGTAAGTCATGTTTTAACTTTAGCTCAGCTATTTCACCAGTCCCTAGACTCCCCAGATTCTTCAGAAAAACAGAGATTGGTATTTCATTGGCCCCACCTCTTCGCAGTATTCAAGTATTCCACTTACGTGCTGAATCTGTTTACATAMAGGCTACACAACTACACATTTCTTGAGCCTTAGAGTTTTATTTTGTTTTTAAATATGCCTGATCTAATCACACCTTAAAATTTAAAATTGCACCCAAGAACTGTAACTTATTAAATTTTATTAGAGAACACTCAACCAAAAAAACATTCCTTTAATATAAAAGTTGTTCCAGAATGCGTTTGTCAGTCTGTTCTTTACTTTTTAATTTCCACTTGCCCTTTCTATGTAAGCAAGAGAAATTCATGCATTAGTCATGGAAATTAAATTGAGAAAGAGTGGGCAGTATTCATCTAACCTTTCCTCTAGACAGTTATTCCAACTCCACCAAATTAAATCCTCCCCATTATTTTCCCTTTCCAGCAATTGTAGCACAGGGTTAGGACTTAGGTTCTGAGATTTTAGCTCATGATATCAAAATTCAGTCACTGCAGGTAGAAAATATTTACAGAGTACATAGCCAGTGTTGTTTTTCAGGACTCATTAGGTTCAAAAAACAAGCAGGTGTGCAGGAACAAGAAATATTCTGCATCTTTCTGAGATGATGATATGGGAAGCAAATGAACAGCAGTTCAAGTTTSTTCAGGGAACTCCATAGTGTATTCCATGGTGTAGACAGCGTAGGATGCTTCCAGACCGTGGTAAGATGCTATGCTGCCTGTGCCGGTTGGGACAACAGAGGGAAGAAGCCCATCCTTGTCATCCCCTACCTATCTTCTATGGACACCGCTGAGCAGCAGTGCCAGGACTTTGGCCCCTCAGAATCTTTAAAGGTTCAACAGCAGTAAACACATGTGATGGCTGTGAAACACCTGTCTGAGTGGCATGGGCCTAATCTGAGGAACATGCTGTATTGCTGGATACATGATTTGAATTAACTTCACATTTTAGCAAATGCTTAAATTCTTCTAATCCCCAGCTAATATTTCAAATTGAACTGAGACAGAATTGCTAGACCCAGGCAATTGGTTTGGTGCCCAGACTGGAGTCTCCTTGCAAACCCATATGCCAATAACACTTTTTTTTTCCCATGTGGAATCTCTTCTGTAACCATACACGCTGTTCTGCCAGTTAAGAAGCAAAAAAAAAAAACAACCCAAAAACTTACTATTATAAAATAATAAGATAGAGATAGGAGTTAAGTGGACATTAGTAACACTAGTTTGTTGCATCTATCACTGAATAATACAAAGATTTTCCATGAATAATGGACAAACTGTCCATGCTCGTATATGCTTCTGGCCCTGCAGTTGGGAGAATGAAGGAGAACACTGGCCCATGCCAAACACGTCCTTGGCACATCCTTTGCTCACTGTAATGCTTCCTTTCTCCTAAGCATATATCTGCTTTCTAATCTGCCCAGATGCACTTTGCAGACRGGTAGTCCTGTGGCTCTGAGCCCTAGTGCAGCTCTGAATACTCCCTGTTGCAGAGACGTTTGGATGCTGCAGTCACAGCAGTACAGCACGGAAAGGCATGGGCAGAGGTCGACACTCAGGGCATAGACCAGAGAGGGAGGGGAGTGAGATGTGCGGGGAGATTGGAAGAGAAAAGGCCAGGTCACATGTAAGTCACTCAGTTGGACACTGTGGATCCATTCTAGGGTGAGTCATATTTCCTCATCTGCCAAGAACGGAAATTAAGTCCATCTGTTGCTTTCAACTTCTCCCTTGCTATGTCCTACCCTGGCCACTTTAAAACAAGTGACTTGACTTTGGAATTACATTGCCTTCATTTACATATTTTAATGCTGCAGAAGTCAAGGTGGTTATCCATTATTATCCTAAAGAAGCCTTAAATACTGCGTACAGCCCCCACTGTGCTGAAAATAGACGAAGAGAAATACCATGGTCAGGAAGGTAACCATCGAGAATGACATGCCAGGCAAAGAACGACAGACCCATTTTAAAACAGGGTAACTGTAATAAACATATTTGAACAAATAGCTAATGTTCAAAAAAACACTGTCTTCATAAATAGCATGTTAAAAGCTTGAAGCAAGACTCAAATAGGGTAGTTGTAACAAAGCTTGGTATTCAAGCTCAGTCTTCTGAGTTTTAGATCACTTTGCTCACTCTAAAACTATTTCTATACGATGTTATCATTTCCTGGGTAAACACACAACAGAAGCTGTAATTAACTGCAGGTCATACACAGTACTCCTGATGAAAAAAAAAAAAAAAAGAAAAGAAAAGAAAACAGTTCTGCATTCTTCGAGCATGCAGAAAGCAGTAGTTATAAACACAGTTCTACAATAAAAAGATTACTTAAGCATTACAATATTTTAACCAAAGACTGTCCACAGGTGTTCACAGCAGGACAATGCAGACTCACCTAAGTCATACCCTAATAAGCAAAGCTCATTTTCAAATTACTGTGAACACTGCATAACCACTCCGTATACTTTCAAAAGGACAAAACCTAGAACTCAACAATGAATTGCAGGAAATCTCAGTAGTGCAAAATAATAGTTTCATTCTTAACGGTCAAACTACAAGTTTTTTAACCTGCTTCCCAAAAAACAAAATCTGAGCTTATATTTTAATGTTCCATGAGGCAGTTACACCAAATAAAGCAATATCTCCCATAGAAGAATTTTCTTCTTACTCAGAAGAAAATACACAAAACCATTATTTCGTCCTTCTCCAAATCCTTCTTCCTTAAAGTTCATTTCTGTCATAATGAATTCAAAGGGGAGAAAATTTCAGTGACATGTGACTATCCCCTTTTCTGATTCTGAAATTTTAATTTCTTCCTTGTTACCTTGTATTTCTCCTCTACCCTAGAGCTATAATTTGAGAAGATTGTCAGCAACAGCAAGTATGAATTTAGTCTGACTGCTCACASTGTGGCTAAGCCTTCTCAAGTACTAAGACGAGGGTAGTGATTACCTGGCCCAACAGAACTATAAAAACACACCCTTTAATCAGCTCTCACTGACTGAAGCGGGGAAGTGGTATTGTTCTGGCAGTAGAGGCCTTTGGAACAGAAGAACCAGACTGCTATTTAGGATCCTCAGCTGTCAAAGCTTTGCCAAGAAGTTAGGCCTGAGGTTCAGTTTTCACCCTTTCACAGTCTTGACGGCATCATACAAATTCCTAGCCATGTGATGCTGTGGTATTTGTCTTACTCAGGATCAGTTTCTATTAAATCTAAGGTGTATAAGGACTATACCTGTCAGATGTACTGTATTTTCACTGTCTCTGGTAAAGACATTTGTCTTTCACAAAGTTTTTTTTGTTTTGGTTTATTTTTAAGTAGAGAATATTTTTCAGTTAATTACACTGAAACTTGTCTTAAGTTAAGGTGTCTTAAATTAAGTGTTCCCAAAGACTCAAGAATAAAGGAAGAGCTTTACCTGTGAGTCATTCTGGGAGTACAAGAATAAAATGTTGCAAAGTATGAAGGAGGTGGCACAGGTGGTATGAAATCTTCAGGATCTGAAATGTGACCTTGTTCTTCAGTTTCTTCCATGGAAACATGAGATTCATCCTAATCAAATACAACCTCCRTTAACAAAGCTTCTACCTATAACAGAAAGCACTAACACAATTGTTCAATTTTGTTAGCACTACGTTTTTTGTTAGGCAGTGCACTGCACTCACTTACTGCACAGGTTCTTCTAGTTGCAAATATCTGCAAATAACGAAGAGCAGCTGCTACCAAGCAAACGGTGGTGGTGAGTGCATTCAGGGCACAGAGTGCAAAGAGAACTTTCTGAAAAACATGGAAATTATGAAAATTAGAAGATTAAATGAAGCCATTTGTTACTATCAAAGGAAAAAAAAAAAAGAAAAATACACGGATCTATAACAATTAGTTTTTAATTATGTACATGATGCAGTACTCTGGATAGATCGTTTCTAATATTTGAACAACTTGTAATACTTTTCATTGCCTTATTGTGAGTCCAGATACAGATACAGAAAGGTTTGAGATACTATGGYTGTGATTTATAGCCCGTCTACTCATCCATGAAATATACCCTTTCTGTAGGAAACACAGATGTGGAATAAATACCATTAAAGGAAATGCTACAACACTTCTATATTTGAAAATGATGTCACCCGGAAGCTTTATTTTAGATGTTCATAATGCAAAAAGGATTGAGCACAAATTCACAACGAAGTAAAATAATTTGTTATGGTAAAACCAGCAATATTTTCAGCACTGCACTTTTGCACAAGAGGGGACATTATCAAAGTGACCTTTCCGCGCAGTACATGCAAGGTACCTTAAGAAGAAGATGAACAGCACTGCATGACTTCATTGGGTATAGTTTCAGTGCATTATCCTTTTCTGTGCATTTTGTTGGATGAAATTCTTCACAGCAGAAACAAATCTTGTTTTCACCTGTGTCCAACTTCAAAAAAAAAAGTTTATTAGCTGTTTTATGCAAAACTTTCCGCTGCACCATAAAGAACTAATGCTTCATACTGTATCTTTGACTCCAAAATAGACCAAATCAAAGACTTCTTATAAAATTAAATTTTTACAATTTTCTATGCCAGTGACTTACACATTACACAACTGTATTCAACATACTTCTTATCTGCAAATCAATGTTACTGATAATTTCAGGACATTTGAATAGAACACTTCTAATCAAAATTGCACCAATTACTGAACAATCTTAGTATTCAAACACCTCTAATTTCAGAGAAACTTGAAAATTCTTTCTTTGACTGATGCATAAACCATTCTGTATTTGGAATACATTATTCTCTTTGAGTGAACCATGGGCATATTTTCGAACTTCTAAGGTTAGAATGACACCCACCACTATAATTTCATCCCAATCAAATCAGTAATGATTATGCTTGCACGCCATCACTATTTGCATTTTTTTCATAAATAGCATCTTAGTTATCTTAGTTTTCAGGTAAAAATTCAACATTTTGGATATCTAGAGTTACTGCTATTTGTTCAGAAACTCCATAGTCAGTGTCACACCTTGTACTCACCAGGTTAGGAAACAGTTTACAATTCTGGGAACACTTTTTGGATTTGTCCTGTCTTTCCAAGCACAGATGACTACTGATGTTCTATGAACATCTAATAATCTTATCTGAATTAAAATTAACAATTTTCAATGCTGCTTCAATATATTCAGATATTGGGCCAATCTTGACAGTCAAGTCCTTGCAAACCTTGGATGCTCCCTGCTCCTTTAATCCTTAAAGCTCTTCAAATCCATGCCAAAAACATGATCATCCTTATTACTGAATAATCTTCTATCCTTAAATTTAATTTAAAATATTCCATTGTTTCCGGCTCATGATAAGACATTTTTCAACCTCATCAGATACCAGGAAAAATCTTTTGTCTTCTGCCCTTCCTTGTGTGTGTTCTTTGTAACCATTAGAAATATTCTGACAATCTAGTATGCTTTGATCTTCCTTATTTTTTCTCATAGTTCTTGCTTTATGATATGAACATGATTCTTTTAAACCAGATGTATACCCCAGGAGAAAAGAAGAATCCCACTCATAGACTACACTTACAGAGCAGTTTTATAGTTAACAGTACCTGTTCAAGCTTTTTATTCAACAGGCTTATCTTTTTGGGGAATGATATAAAACTTTCACAGTGGTTCTGTAACTGATTGTTGTTTAAAAATCAGTGTATAATATCACCAAGAGGGTTTCTCTGAAGATATATTTGCAGTTCCTTCCTTCATGACCCCATAAAATTGATTAAGGAGCCTCACAGAGAATCACATCTGTAATCAGACCCTGAAAACAGAGCTCAACCACCAGTGATATCAAACAAAACTTTTTCTAGACTAAGCAAGGTCTTCTAAAAAATAATAAATACCTTCACAACATAGCATTTGAGATCTTTCATTCTGGGAGGTCAACAGCTTATAAAGGCCCCACTTCAAAAAAGTAAGTTTACAGAGACAGATAATAGAAGTATTGTTATGGATTTCAGTGAATCTCTTCACAATTTTTAAGTGACCCTACAGTTGAATCAGTTTTCTTTTTTCCCACCATACCGTAGCTGTTTTTCAATCTCTTGTCATCCACTGCTTTTATCCTTGCATATAGCACTTTTTGTGATCCTAGCTTGGTGAGCTTATGTGGCATGTTGTCAAGAAATACGTGTGAGTTACCATATGTGCTCACCAAATCACATCTGGGTACACTGGACACAAACTGGGCACCTTGGCATCCTAGTATAAATCCAGCCAGGTTCAGAAGAACACAGACAACAGACAGCAGAACAAACAGGTTAACCTGAAACAGCAAAACAAAATTAACAGCACTGAGAACAGGATGATGAAACGGTCTCAAGGACCCTGTAACAATGCAAGTCAAACTCCTGTGTCAGGGATAACAGTTCCTTTCTGTGTGATTTTCAAAACACTCTTAACTTAGTAAATTATTACCTTCTTATCTTGCAAAACATATTGGAAGCAAATATATGCAATTTTGAAAAGTATAGATTTTCCAGCCCCTACAAAATGTGAGATGGAGATTACTTTTTTCCCTCCTGTTCCAGACCACTTCAAAATGTATGAATATTCTAGGAATATTTTTTCCTTTCTACCAAATTTCAAAAGCATTGTCCAAACCATCCAGCTATCCTATAATGTCAGAATCACAATGAAGGGGAAGACATGTCAATAGGTGGAAAACACTATTTGCAAACAGAAACTTTGCATTGTATACCACTGATTTCCACTGTATGCGCTACCTTTCCACCCAGCACATCTTTCAACACCTCTAGATCAGTAATAAACCTAAAAGGAAACATCTTAGGACATGCATTTGATCTGCAGCATAAACTACTGAAAATTATTTGCCACAATACAGCGATGGCAGAGCCCTTTTTTACAAGATTATATTTTATCCTGACTACTAGACATAAAACAACTCCATTCATAAATTAAACAATACTTTCAGTTTTAGAAATATCTGAAAGAGCTACAATGGCAGAAATGATAAAATATTCGAAATTCAAGACAAGCAGAATCAGTAGGTAAAAACTCCTATCTTAATCGAGAGTCTTACATCCTAGAAGTTAGGCCTATATGAGAGTTAGAATAGGATTTTAAACACATGCAAAAACTTCTACTGCCATATGTGCAAAATTTTTCTGTACTTTATGAGAAAATTATAAGTGAGAATAGTACTTTGAGATAAATAAATACAACAGGTTCCCATCCTGACACATTTAAAATTTCAAGCACACAATCCCACAAAGCAAGTAAGAGGCCTTCATATCCGAAGAGTCCTTGGCTATCTGTTCACTCCAGTTCCTTTGCATCGAAATTAAAAATGCAAGAGAACACAAAAAACAGAAAAAGGAGGACTGCATGAGGAACAGGCTTAGTTATCATCCAGCTAATTTTTACAAAAGATTCCTCAGCAAGAGGTTCATAAAGACAAAGACAGCAATAGCTTTTCAAATGATTTTGGCTAAGGTATCATACTTTACTACTTATATACCTGGACTATAAATAAATCAGAACTGTTACACCAATTATGACCCTGTTTACTGAAGTTCAGGAAAACAAAATCAATCCTAAATGGCCGACAGCCAAAGAGCATTACTGTGTACAGTATTTTCAGTGCTTGAAGTCCATTCCCTAAATTACAACATCCCATTACAAGCAGACATTAGAGAGGGTGACTATGATATTATCATATTACATGATATTATAAAGCAGGCTTTAACCTCAAAAAAAAAAATATTAACAGAGCTATCAGTACTCCTCTGAAAAGTAAGAGGACTCCTTTGTATCAGATACACTGAAAACAATATTAAGAGGAGCAGTATGTTTTCACACAGCTTTGTAAACATCATAAAATGACAGACAATAATTTTTAACATTAGTATGGATTTTAGAAACCATTCTTTTCATATAAATACAGAAGTTAATCTTTTTTTGAAATGACTCTGTTGCTCAGCACTTAGATGAATCAATACCACTTTTTATGATCTTTATTGAGAGTATCTCAGTTACCTTTCAGATAAAATTACTTCTAGAAAATTGAGGAGGAGATGAACATGAAAATTTCATGCAGAGGTTACTTTTCCTTTGTGTTCAACCAAGGACATTATCAATCTTAAACTAGTCAGCTTTATAAATTACTTTGAAGTTGATTCAATGTAAAACATTTTCATAATTCAAATCTCAAGAACCTAGATGAAGGAAAACAAAAGGTTTTCTTTCAGTGATAAAGATAATGATGTACTGAGCAACGAAGTTACTTTACCAAAATCATAAGACAAGGCTGATTGGAGAGGAGATTTGGGGAACAGAAGCAAATTCATATATTATTTTTCTTCCTTTGGTATGGAAATTACTGTAGAAACAAGAACAGTCCAGGATACTCCATTATAAAAAGAAATAATTTCAGCACTCCTAACAGTGTACAAAATCTTGGCTAAAAAATATACAGATTTCCTAAAGAAACAAGTGAAATCTAAAGAAGAAAAAGTAATATTTTTCTTACACAGTTGCAAAAGCAAGATGGTAATTTGTGTATCACCGATATTCTAATAAACAGTGTACAAAAATGAACCCTTGGTCTGCCTTCTGTTATATATATGGTCTATTTGCAGAACCTATTACCCAGAAAATCCCCGTGGAAAATCCCCGTGGAAAGTAAGAAACTAAAAACAAGTCTTCCATATAAAATCTGCAAATAGACATTAGCATGACCAGAACTATCACATTTACTAACACAAGAAAATAACTTTTTAGCAGAATTTGTAAGAAGTCAAAATCCTTTTTCCTTCTGCTCCTTTACTGAACAGTATTTTTGGCCACCACTTTCACAAGGATTCCAACAACACAGTCAAAGCATGTTAGCACAGACTACAACACAACCATTAAAGCAGTGAATGTGTCTTTGAGAAGCACCCTTATATGAATAAATATCCTAGAGATTAATCCACATTTCTTTACAGACAACACCAGARGTGTTGACAGAATAGCAGGCAGGACTTAGGCTCAGACATCGTGATGACTCCTGCATCACTTATTTCATCAGTTCTATGATGAAACTATGACAAAAACCTTACTTCAAATTTACTTTTTCATTAGACATATGACATATAGGTTATGGCAAAGATAAAAAGCAAAGAAAGAGAGGTGGGAGAATCTTTTAACATAGACTTGGAGATTCAGATCATGGTTCACAATTTTATAGCAAAGTATCTTTTAATTGCTTAAAATGAAATATGTATGAACTATCTGGTCAAAAAATAAGCAAAAAAAAAAAAAAACCCCAAAACAAAACAAAAGCCTCTGCAGAATCTAGGCTAATGTCAGTGCTCAAGGAAAGAAATGTTATAAACCTCACCATACAGTCCAGGGACAATTATCCAAACAGAAGAAAATTCCTAATTTCTATATGAGACAAGGCTCTTGGAAGCTATAATGTCATAATTTACACATCATGCTTTTCTCACAGTTTTACTTCAGAAAATATATTCTCCTTCATACAAATCTCAATGCCTTCTCCACAACTATCCACCTACAAGGGAAAATGAGTAAGAATACTTTCTATCACAGTGAATGAAGATTCCACCCATACGTAAGCCAGGGGAAACTGGCTTGGTATAAAAAAAAAAGCCTGTGTATGGAAGACATTAATAAAGACAAACATGCTATTTTAAAAGCAAAACCAGAGGTAATTGGTCTTAAGTTAGTTGACTAAAATAGAAACAAGACAAATTATGGCATCGGTTTGGCCCACTGCCCTTAAATCTTTCCAGCATTAGATATGCAAGCAGTGCAGGCAGCTGCAGAAATCCTTGAAGCACACATATTAAAGTACAGAAAATCAGAGAGTATCCTGATGTTAGACACATTTTTTATTAAGGCATTGCTTGGATACTTTTTTTGAGGAAAAATATCATCATGCACTTTCAGGGTTCAGTCTAAATGCTTTCAGCCAATCAAGCCACTATCACTGATGGGAGTTTTGCCATTAGTTTCAGCGGCAGCAGGGGCAGGGCAGACTTAGAAGATTAATTCTTGTAATTTATTGATCTTGTAATTCCTTCTGTCACCCAGACAGGCACTTAAATAGCATGTGAAAGAAAAGCATCTGCTCCATAGTTCTTTTATTTCCTACATTTATATATAAGCATACTTCTAGGAAATGATAAATCAATGCATTAATTTTCCTCTAGATGTACAGCACCAATAACTAGCTCAGTATTAATTATGGACCCTGCTTAGTTTCAATTGGCCACTTATTGTGTCTCACCTGCAATACAATTCTCTCTCAAAAATAAAAAAGAAAAAGAAAAAAGCTACATAAAAGTAGATGACAAATTCATTTATTTAGCAGAAAAAAACACATCATACTTTAAATGCATCATTAGAACTCTTGAAATGAACTAGAAGATGGTAAAAGATAATACCTAAAAAGGAAAATATGAGAAGAAAACAGAGTTCAGCTAAATGTAAGATTTCTTTTAGTGTTTCATATTTAAAAGTATTTCCTTTCATTTTTTACTTTGACTTCAAGATCTTTCAGTGAGTATAGCTTCTTGCATTAATGGTTGGAAATATTCATCTGAATGAACATGCTAACATTCAGCTACCCTACTATTAAAAACTCAGAAAAATGTGCATGGCTATAGTAATTCTCACCTAAACTAAATTAATTGACTAAATTAATTACTTCATTTACTAAGAAGTATGTGGCCAGGATGAGATTTGCAGAATTAAGGTGAAGATCTGCAACTCTGGCTCACACTGCTTTGTATTCTTGCTAGCAGTGATGAGCATGCCTAGCTAAAATTTATGAAAGTTCACTTCGCTAGCACTAGTACTATGTATTTAGGTCTAAACCTTAGATCTCAAATAAATTCACGCAAGCTAAGGTGCAGATATCACGAAGGTAATAACTTGCTATACATTTTTATATAAAAGCTGCTAGGAAATACTTTAGATAATTTTTGGAAAATGATTTTGATTCAAATCTTTAACTGAAAAAAAAGATCTTTTGAATAAAAGAAACCTGAATTCTAATCTGTTCTTATTTTCAATGAAAGAATATTTTTGTCATAGAAAAAAATACTAATGCTTTTCATTAAAAAAAAGTTTTAAATAAAAGTGAAATGAATTTCTTGGACTGAACATGCAAAATAAGCAAAACTACATAATTTTTAAGTTAACCTGACCCTACCTGTAATGACTATGACTATGCTGTGAAACAGTGGAACCACAAAGCTGAGTGTCAGAGCTATGTTTATCTCACCTGCACTGCTGATTTCCTGACTGCAAGTACAGCAGTCTGTATTGCTAGGTACTGAACTTGAAAGCACATTCAACAGGACAGCAAACAATCCACAGGTGACTGAGAAGGACTGGACGCTTCCCTAGCAGAATGCCTCTGCATTCACCAGAACATGATGTATGGCTCCAAGTATCACCTGAGAACGCAACATAAACTCAGTACATTGGCTTAGCATAAATCAAGATAAAAGTTTGGAGACTGGCTACTGCAGCAAGATTCAAAGATGTCAGTTATCTTTGATGCACAGATACTAAAACAAGCACTGATATAAGCTAGATTTCTTTAGTTAAAAATAAAATTTAAGATCCTGTGAAAAGTCCAGGAGTAGACAGGAAGGAGCCAGCTCCTATAAAGTACAGAACATCATAGAGCCAACATCTAAACAACTGTAGAGGGAAGGGAAGGGAAGGGAAGGGAAGGGAAGGGAAGGGAAGGGAAGGGAAGGGAAGGGAAGGG